TCTTTGTCATTAGCAGCTGGGTTCTTTAGACCATCCTATCTAGAGGCTGAAAGCAGGAAAGATCTGCAGGGTATGTTATGTTTCCATAAATAGCTTTTAGTGGGAGTGGTCGTGTGAGTGGTATATACTTTTGACATGCATATTAAAGTATATTTAAACTAACGTAAAGATTAGTGAGTAGCATAAAGCAGTGGGGACTGGCTTTAACTGCAGCTGGTGTGGCCGTGCTGCCAGGCCCTCAGGCAGTGCACGCTTTTAGCACTAAACAGAACTCTGGTGAATGAGCTGAAATTTTTTTTTTTTAATCCAGGGAGGGAAGCCTTTAAAATTATAATACAGAAAAGGATCTGTGCTTTCAAACCAGAAGCATCATTTGGATGTTTTCACAAGATACCTGATTAGAAAACAATACAATCTAGGGAGCCCGTAAAGCTACATTTTTCCCAAAGTGAGACCTCAGATGCAATTGTGAAAGACCTGATTAGATGCTATGTAATTTGTCGGTAGAGTATTAGGACACCCAATTTTGTTAATTCCTACCTGGAAGAATCTCAAACAAGGACAGGAATGCATACTGGTGAATATAAGGGTGTGTTGCTGCACCCCGCTTACGGGCTGAGCTGTCTCTCCAGGAATGCAGTGAAGCAGTTTGGAATCATAACTGCCAAGCCAAGCAGAAACTCACCTGTACTAGAGTCCAGGATTTTGGGTGGCAATAAGCATTTTTAATTAAAAGTTCCTAAATTTGGAACTGAATCTATAAACATGTGGCAGATTGAACTAGCACTTCCAAACATCATTGGAGCTATGGGGTGTATGTGGCTTTTTTAAAAACTGGATGGTTAAGCTAAGAAAATCAAGCTGTGTTTTACTTAAAATTAACACTAATCAGAGTTCTTGTACTCTTTTTTTCTTCATCAGTGTATCTGCTGTTGTGTGTGTTGGTTCCCCATCCCCCAGCCCTTCACTTTTATCTCTTAAGACTGATTTCAGATAGGGATAAGGATTAAAGCACTATAATACTCATTCACTGGCCGGGCGCGGTGGCTCACGCCTGTAATCCTAGCACTTTGGGAGGCCGAGGCGGGCGGATTGCTCAAGGTCAGGAGTTCGAAACCAGCCTGAGCGAGACCCCGTCTCTACCAAAAATAGAAATAAATTAATTGGCCAACTAAAAATATATATACAAAAAATTAGCCGGGCATGGTGGCGCATGCCTGTAGTCCCAGCTACTCGGGAGGCTGAGGCAGTAGGATCGCTGAGCCCCGGAGATTGAGGTTGCTGTGAGCCAGGCTGACGCCACGGCACTCACTCTAGCCTGGGCAACAAAGTGAGACTCTGTCTCAAAAAAAAAAAAAAAAAAAAAAAAAAAAAAAAATACTCATTCACTTTAGTGAGTAATAGAAAGCCTCTGCTGCCTCCTAGTTTATTCCTTAAATAGATCAGAAACAGCAGGTAATCTTCATCAGCAAAGCAGTTAGATTTTCACCCCTTACCTATCTCATTGCCAGAGGTCTTATTAGAAACCAAGGTTGTCTGTTGACCTTAAAACAAAAATGTAAAGAAGATTGTTTTTTCTTAATAAGAAATAAAATTACCTCTGGAAAGCAATTTCCCAAGTAAATCGAGAAATAGTCATATTGGAGCCCTGAATGATTCTTACGTGATGTCTAGGACAATGGGGAAGAGGAGGGAGTAGTGAGGGAGAGAACGTAGCCAGTGGTCCGGGATTCACCACGTCCACTTTCCAGGCAGTGGATGAAGGCTATCGTCAGATCCGACTGAGAATAGTTATTTTAGACTTATTCTTCTCCCAATAAATCCACATTCTACTTTATATTAGAGGAGTAATCTGTGGTGCCACATAGGGCTGCTAAAACTCTATAGTTAGTAGATCTAAAAAAAAAATCAATTCACATGAAAGTACAGGAGGAGGTAAACATGATTTAGAGGAAACTTGGGGTTACTAATGCTATTATATTGAAATATTTGTGCATGTAATGCCTCCCCTGCCTCAAGCCATTCCTAGGCTGTTTGATCTTCCTGTTTACTGTAATCTTGCTTCTCTGGGAATTATTTCTGTCTTCTCAGAGACAATGTCTTCCCAATGCAGAAAGGGCATGCTGTTTATTCAGTAGTAATATTGAGCATATTAGTGACTTTGGTTTTCAGTTGTGTGTGTGTGTGTGTGTGTGTGTGTGTGTGTACATAAAAATTCTGAGCAATATGAAATTCTAAGCTATGTATTAATAATTTAAATTTCAGTAACTAAGAAGAGTTTTGAGATACAATTCCATATGGCTTCATTGTAGTATCTGCTTATGGCTACATTTGAAGTTAGACCTGAGCACCACAGTGAAATTGTGGTGAAAAAAGTATTATCCAGTTGTCACTAAAAGAAAAAAAAATGTGTAACCCAGATAAGTTCAGGTAAAATAATACCTAGAAACATTAAACCAGGGTAGACTGCAAAGGAAACAGAACAAATGTGAGAGAGAGATTGTACTTGCAAGATGGGTTGTAGGGAATACTTTCTAGAGGGGGTTGGGAATCGTACATGAAGCAAGCTAAAACTACTCAGATTTGTCCCTAGTAGAGTTTTAATAAGGGATTATCCTCCACTCCCAGAACTGATTCAGTTGTTTATTTGTTAATAGAAATGGGTAGGGGCCTCTCCATTCCTTCCTCTCCGTCTTAAAATGGTCACCTCTGCCAAGCCGCAGCTTCTCCCTGTTGCCTTCCAGCTCTAATCTCCTCTTAGGTGTAGCACCATGGCAACCGACCCAGCCTGGAGCCCTGGAACCTTGTTTGCCTTACCTGAGGGGCTAGGTGTAGCCTGAAGGAGGAGAAAAAGGAATATTACCTATCCTGCAGACTGTTCCGATGAAGATGGCTTTTTTATCTGTTTGTGTTTCTGTTCTGCTTCTATGGAAGACTTGAACTAACACCTGGAAAACATTTAGCCAAAGATGTTATCAGTAACGAAGGCAGCAGGGAAACCATCTTCTGTTGGTTCCTGTCTTCTAAACAGAGCGTTGTTTTCTGAGATGTAGTTCAGGAGTGACTTGCTGTACTGGGACATGTGGCACCGCTATGATTTGGGGTTGCACTGCCAGGTGGCTGTACAATTGCTTCATGTAGGTAGATGTTTATTTTGTTTAAAATAAGTTAATTTATACTTTAGAAAATTTTCCTAGAGAATTTAAAAAATAAAAAGTAAGCCTTTGTCATGCTCCTTCTGTTTTAAATGTGTTTTCATCTTTCTCGTTGAGAGGCTTCCCCAGACGGAGCAGGAGAGGCGTTTCCTTCTAGCGACGCCTCCGGGAGATGCGCTAGAGTCACTGTTTTCTATCTGTTTACGAAAGGTCACAGTGGCCTGCTTTCCTCAACCAGGCTTCCTATGCAGCATACTGGGAAAGGTTGTATGATAATTAGATTAAAGTACAATTTTGGGGGGCATTTAGTTATTTGTAGTTGATGTGCTATATTTGCAGTATGTAACATGTCATTGTCTTATCAAATAGAACAAAAGGAAATAAATGTGGGCTGTTACATTGTTAAATTGTTACATACAAAATATTAGGTGGCATTTGTCTCTTTTGTGCATCTTTGCCTTATCAATGGAAAATATAAATGTTGACTTTTTGACTTTAAAAATTACTGAATGTCTGAACACATGTTTTTCAGCCTAAACTTGAAATGTGGTTTATTATTTTTGTGGAAAGAAGAAGGACTAAAATCCTTATTGCTTAAAATGTTCTTATTTTATGGAGTTTCATTAAACAATGTTAGAATAGAGACAGAAGTTAGAGAGCAGCCTTAGTGCTAGTTTCCTATATCTCATTACTTTATAATTTAACTAAAACCTACTCTGGCATTAAACATTTCAGTTCCTTTTAGTGTTGATATTGTTATTTCAAGGAAATAAGCCGTTTATTTAATGTGTTTTATAAAAACAAATGTCTTTACACAAAGCATTTCTTTTTATCCTTACCGCTAAATACTTCTGCCTGAAATATATGTGTGTAACTCTGGATGTTTCAGTCAACAAATACTATAATTATTGAGTAAAACTGTATGGTCATCCAATTTTGTATTCAATAATATTGTGCTTTATATTGTTTGACTCCATTAATTCTTTCAAGAGAAAGGTAGTGAAGTGCTAGTTCCTATGGTGACAAGAGTCATGATTTCCAGCAGTTTTAAAACAACTAGGAAACAAAATCAGACAGGATGCCCAAATGGTATTAACAAAGATCTGTCCTCTAGATGAGAGTTTGGGCTTTTTTTTTGTCATCATGGTGGAAGGTTTTTCAAGGAGTTTAATTCTTAATTCATATTTATACAGTAAAGCATGGATAGAATCAAAAGCTTACCAGAAAAGAATCCCATATTGACATGGAAATCAGGCCTTTTGAAAGACAGGGTCTTGTGCTAAAGTGTTGCTTCGACTCTGTGTGTGTGTGTGTGTGTGTGTGTGTGTGCGCGCGCGCACATTTATTCTGCCAAAGTAGAAAGAAACAAAATGAGGAATCAGCCACTATTATTTTGTCAGTGATGGAAGAGGATAAAGCTATAGCATAAGGGAAAAAAAAGAAATAATTTGTCTTTTGGCAATACCTTTACATTAAAAAGAATATGTAAGATAACCTAAATAGTATATATTTCTCCATGTTCCCAGGTAGGAATGAGGATTAAACAGTGTCTGTAGTAGAGCTTTGAGCTCCCTTGAGATGAGTGAAATTGTAGTATGTTTTTATGTTTTATGTAGTATGTTTTATGTGAGTGCACGCACACTGAAAAAAAGTATGCATGCACTCACATATATGTAGTTTATATTTGCTACATGAATATGATTATTGTTGTTATAGATTGACTAGTAATTTGTTCCTTGTTTATTTTCTTAAGCAGGTGTACATTTGTTGTAGCCTCCATTGTATTAGATTCCATTTCCTTGTCGGCCTAGGTTACACTACCTTAAATATCTTTTTCTACTTTAGGTCTCGTGGGCTTCCTAAACTAAAAGAGTCACGTTCCCATGAATCCTTGCTGAGCCCATGCAGTGCAGTGGAATGTCTGGACCTTGGTAGAGGGGAGCCTGTATCCGTGAAGCCACTCCATAGTAGCATTCTGGGACAAGACTTCTGCTTTGAGGTAAAAAAAATAAGTGAATAAAAAATTTTAAAAAAGAAAGAATAAAGAATAGTTAAACAACAGGCAGATTTTCTATCCAGTGACTTTGTGATTTCATTACTGTGGTGTTGATGATACGATTACATCAACTGGTTTTCAGTTCTGAAAATTACCTACTTATGGGAAAAAGTTGGAAATTTGTACTTAAAAAGTTATTAATAATGATAGCTTCTCATTTCTTTTATTCTTATCTTCTTTCCAAAAAATTGAATTCCTAGTACATTCTCAGCAGAAGTCACAAGACTAGCAATAATTTATTAAATTAGCATATTAATTTTTTAATATTGGGAAGAATGTCACTATGTTATTATTTTTCTCCTGAAAACCTTAGTCCCTAATTTTAATGTTTTTTTTAAAAAAATTGACCCAAACCATAATTTTTCTAACTACAATGTAAATAGTTCAAGATCTGGGATCATATCTTATTTATTTTTGTAATCCCCTGCACCTAGCCCAGTCTGTAGCACATTGCAGGTACCTAATTTCTTAAGTAACTTGCCCTTCACTAGAAAATTATGGCTATCACTTTTTTATAAGGTAGTTTCTCCCTTCTAAATTAAATATACACTATTGGCCATTTACAAGTTAAAATTGAAAACTATGTGTACATATATATATACACACACACACATACATATATATAAAAAATTATTAGAGTTAGGATTTGATTAATTAACAAGAACTTATTAAGTGCCTAGTGATGAGTCCTACAGTAGATGTTGTAGAAGTTGAAAGACGTTTAGTTCCTATTCTTATGGACCAGCACTATCCAAAAGAAATATAATGCAAGCCACATATGTAGTTTTAAATTTTATTTAACAAAAAAATTGCCATTGCAACATGCACTATAAAACTTATCAATGAGAAGTTTTACATTATTTTTTGGTGCTAAATCTTTAAAATCTAATGTATATTTTATAGTTACAGCACTATTTCAATTTAGACTAGCCACGTTTTAGATACTCACTAGCCACAGAAGGCTAGTATGCTTGGACAAAGCATATCATCTGATCTGGTTCACTAGGTTATAAGCTGAAATCGAGTTAACATGTGACTTCAGCATGTGTGCACATGTTAACTCAATTAACATGTGCACACTTCAGCAATTTGGGCAGGGCATTTATTGGTCTTCATTTTATAAAAATCACTTGAACTTTCCCATTTTTATGGAGTTCAGCTCAACAGATTGGGTAACAAGCCCAGTGTTTGGTGCTAGGCATATAACAACATGTTTCACTTTTGAAGGACTTTGGTAATAGTGGTAAGGCTAACCTAATAAATGACTGGAAATCAACAGTCCGGTTGCCTAGTGGAAGAAAAAAATGGGTTCCAAAGACAGTAATGCAATACTAGTAACTCTTCTCTATTTCATTTAATTCCTTCTATTATATTATAGTGAAGTTGGTCTCAAAAAAATCTAATAAGCTGTTTCAAACACCTTCTTCCCTTTTTAGTTATTTTTATTAACTCACTCAGAATTGAGCATATTCATTTGCAGGTAATTTAAGATGTTGCCTAAAAGGGTTTTAATTTTGATTTTTCTTAACCATAGGCCAACTTTAGGTTTCTCAGCTGAATTTAAAATGGCTTTTGTTCTCACACCTGGAAATGAGTGTGGATGCCACTACCTAAGCAAACAGGGAGTGTAGGTACAGGTACCATAAAACCAGCAAAGATCATTTTATTTTCACATAATATGATTTGGGCTCATAGCATACCTCTAACTCTTCAGTGATAGAACTAGGAAGATAGAGTCCCCAAATCCTGTGTTTTCTTTTCTTTATCTGTAATCTTTATGTTGAAGGTTACCTACTTAAGTGGAAGTAAGTGTTTCAGCTGTAACTCCGCTTCCGAGAGAGATAAGTGGATGGAAAACCTCCGTAGGACAGTTCAACCTAATAAGGTAATGGTGGCTTTGAGTGTCTAAAATTGTAAGCACTAAGTTGATAGAAGGTAAATGTAGTAATAATCCATGTAGTAATAACTTTGATAGAATTTTAGAGTTTTAAATTGCATTTATATATTAGGCCATTTTAAGCTAAAATAATCTTATTGCAGATATTGTCATCATGATCTCACCAATGTGAATAAGAAGACAAAAGTTAACTGGCTTGCCCAAGTCAGAAGCTCGTACGTGATAGAAAAGGGACTAGAGCACCAGCTTCTTAACTATTTTTTTCTTTTTTTATCTGCAGAATTTAGTCCAGTTGCCATTTGGCTGGCTATATGAAAACTTACCATAACAAGATGATATTTTCTAACCCAAGTAAAATAGAATATATGTGGTTCTTTAAGATTCTGACACACGGAGGGTTGGAGGGTGGGTGCGGAATAAAAACTTACCTGTTGGGTACAGTGAACACCATTCTGGTCAGAGGGGTATACCAAGAGCCCTGACTTAAGCATTATTCAAGATATCCATGTAATAAAAACAGTTGTAGCCCTTTAAAAAAAAAGAATTCTGATACATTCTGGTTTTGAGCTTGCTATTATCCTAATCAGCAATCCTTTCATTATTTGCTTCGTTATATATACCCTTAATAAGAGTACATAATCAGCGTCACATACTTTAAAAGGAAAATGTTTTCTGTCTGGGATATCATATCTCAAATTCAACTTTGTCGCCTCTTTATAGGACAATTGCAGACGAGCTGAAAATGTTCTCCGTTTATGGATCATTGAAGCCAAGGACCTTGCCCCTAAAAAGAAATATTTCTGTGAACTGTGCCTTGATGATACCCTCTTTGCTCGTACAACCAGCAAGACCAAAGCAGATAATATTTTCTGGGGTGAACATTTTGAATTCTTCAGCCTTCCACCTCTGCATAGTATCACAGTTCACATTTATAAGGATGTGGAAAAAAAGAAAAAAAAGGACAAGAATAATTATGTAGGGCTAGTTAACATCCCCACTGCCAGTGTGACTGGTCGCCAATTTGTAGAAAAATGGTATCCAGTGAGTACACCTACACCCAACAAAGGAAAGACAGGAGGACCTTCTATTCGGATTAAATCACGTTTCCAAACTATCACCATTCTGCCTATGGAGCAATACAAAGAATTTGCAGAATTTGTCACCAGCAACTACACCATGCTGTGTTCTGTCCTTGAGCCAGTAATTAGTGTGAGAAATAAAGAGGAATTGGCTTGTGCCTTAGTGCATATTCTTCAAAGTACTGGCAGAGCTAAGGTAAGTGGAAAAGGGGTTGCATTACCTAAAATCTCTTCCTTACCTTTTACAAAGAGACAAAGACATGGATACTGTAGAGATCCAATTTAGAGAATTGTGCTTTGCTGTTGCTCAAAACAAGGAGAAAAATAAAAAGAATTAAGAAGAAAACCTATTGGCGGTTCTTGGATCCAGAAAAGATAGGGATTATAAAACTGAAAAAGTAAAATGGAGGACCAACAAATATTTATAGAAAGTCCATTTGCATGAAAGATAGATGCCATAGCCAGCTCTTTATTGTCTGAAAAAATAAATGGTAGAATCAGTAAGGTAACCCCACATTGTGTTCAGAATTCTGTCTTCAGTTCTAGAGTGTTGTATGGTGGTTTCCTTCCTCGCTATATGCTGTTTAAGATTAGCTGGCGGCTTTATCCCCTGGGCACAGAAGGAGGTGTTCCAGAGGCATGCTGGGTGTTAGTAAGAGTCCTCATGGGATTAAAATCTATATTTGGAATAAAAATACCAAGGGATGTTGTACAGTTGGTAGTTGTTTCATGATAGACTTATTTCAACCTGGATAGGAGTAAAAATGCAGGAAGACAAAAGTATGCTGGTTGTAGGGAGAATCGCCACCGACCGATAGGTCTCTGGCCCGTGAAGCATTTTCTCTTTACTGGGCTGAGTCTCCACGTATTATGTGCAAACTGATCATAGCGAAATTATATTTTAGATCCAGAGAAGTTCACAAGTAGAATAATTTATTTAGAACTAAACATTAAAGTGAAGTGCTATTAATATTTCTTGATATAAATCAGTTTATACACAACTTAGGTACAATAAACTACACCCATTTAAAGTGGAAAAGTTCAGTGAGTTTTTTGACAGATTATGTACCCATTGAAACCACCACCATAATCAAGATACAGATATGTTATCATCACCCCCAAAAGTTTCCTCCTGTCACTTAGCATAAATTTTAATAGTCATTCCTAAGTCTACAACTCTTTTCTACTATTGCACTGGCCCAAAGTAAGTCCTATTTATATTTAAAATGCTTAATAACATTCAAAATATATGATAACATACTTCAAACTGAACAACAATAAACACTGATTTTTATATCAAGTTCTTTAAAACTGTTGAGGAATAAAGCAGGTTTCTTCAAGGTTTTATTTATCCTTGTGCCATCCTTCTGGATGGTTGGATGGATAGATGGACAGACAGCCTAGAAAATGAGTTCAGGTGATGAGTTTAAGAAATTCCATGGTGATACTGGGGACCAATTTGTAACTTTTATACAATAAACACCTAATATATGCCAGAAACTGTTAGGTGCTTTAGACGTTGTGGTGAGCAAAAGTAGACACTGTCTTTGGCCTTGTGGGGCTTACAGTTTTCTGGGGAAAACAGATATTAATGTTAACCAAGTAATTACAGAAATAAATGAGTGATCACAGTGAGAACTGCAGGGGTAAAAGAGACGTGGTGCTACAAGGCACGGAACAAGAGGGCCGGAGCAGTTCCGGGGAAGTGCTGGCCAGGGAAGGTTCGCTGAGGAAACAGTCTGTGAACTAAGATCCAAAGGATCCCAGGAATTAACACCACAACAGTGGGAGCAGGAGTGAGGGTGGGCGTGGAGCACAGCCGAGGAGCACAGCAGTTGTTGAAAAAAGGGCTTTGTGGTGAACAGAGAACAATGTGTGTTATTACTGAAAGGGCTTGGTGTGTTACAGGCCCTAAAAAGAAAGTCCTTGAAGCCAAGCAGAATGCAGAGAAAGGTACAAGACAAAGCTGGAAAAGTAGAGACAGAGACTTGTAGGGTGCATGCAGAATTATGGTTTTATCAAAAGTGCAGTGGAAAATCTTTGGAGGAATTTTAAACTTAGGGGTAGTGACACCTAAAATTTTATGCTGAATTTTTTTTGTTTCAAACAAATCTGGTAGGTTTAGTTTTAAAGCACCATACACAGGATGTCTCATATTTTATCAGTCTCTTCTAATGTATATTATTTATTCAGTTGCTTTCTGCCTGATTGAACCTTATTCTACCAGGATTTTCTGACTGACTTGGTGATGTCTGAGGTGGATCGTTGTGGAGAGCATGATGTCTTGATCTTCAGAGAGAACACCATTGCCACCAAATCCATTGAGGAATACCTCAAGTTGGTGGGACAACAGTATCTTCATGATGCACTAGGTATAAAAGAGAAAAACTTGTATTTTCTTTTCCTTCCCTTTCGATTTTAAGTTATTTCACCCTCATAAAACAAATTGAGCTCAAATTTGAGTATTATTTAGTTCTAGCTGACTAGAGTATTAAGGTTTGCATTTCAGCTATAAGAAGTCTGTTCAGTACTTACCAGTGGAGTAACAATAGATTGGTTTATCTAGCATGTGCAGAATAGAAAACCCATCAGCATAAACAGCTTACTCCCAGACCCTCAAGTTCATGATTCTGGGATACACAATAATATCAGTGGGTGTCACTACTGGACCTGAGGTGGCCTGTTTTCCCCAAAGTGTTCAGTATTTATATCATAAGTCTTGAGAGAGTTACTCTACCCTTTGTTATCATGCATACAAAATTTTAATCAAAAGTGAAGAAACTCTTGCCAGTTCCCAAAACTCCCCCACAGATTTCTGCCTTCAAGGTCTGTAGAATTTTTTAATATAACTAATTTTTTTTTTGGCCCATGAATTGTTCTTTTTTTTCCATTTTTTTTTATTATTTCAGCATATTATAGGGGTACAAATGTTAAGGTTATGTATATTGCCCATGCCCCCCCTCCCCCCTCGAGTCAGAGCTTCAAGCGTGTCCATCCTCCAAATATTGCACATCTCACTCATTATGTTTGTATATACCCATCCCCTCCTCCCCCCTCCCACCCGCCTGACACCCGATAAATGTTACTCCTATATGTCCACTTAGGTGTTGATCAGTTAATACCAATTTGCTGGTAAGTACATGTGGTGCTTGTTTTTCCGTTCTTGAGATATTTCCCTTAGTAGAATGGGTTCCAGCTCCATCCAGGAATGTACAAGGCCACTCACTTGCACTTCCAGTTTGGTCATGAAATTCAAGCATTAACCACCAGAATAAGGCCCTGTACTGGGCACTTTGATACACATCATGATAGAGCAGAAGGAGGTTCCATTAAGGAATATCCATTTCTTTCACCTCCATATCCCTCATTCCTACACAGAATGTAGAACACCACTGTCCTGTAGAGACATAATGTGAGCCGTGTGTGTCATTTTTATGTATTTATTTTTATGGAATTTTAAATTTTCTAGTGGTCACAAAAAAAGAGTAAAGAGAAACAGGTGAAATTCATAACATTTTATTAACCCAATATATCCAAATATTATTTAATAGCTAATCAATGTAAAAATCAGTAATTAGATATTTTACTTTTTATGCTCTTTGAAACCCAGTGTGTATTTTACATTTATTGCACATTTCAATTTGCACTGGCCCCGTTGCTAGTGCCCAACAGTCACATGTGACTCGAGTAGACAGTGTGGCCGGGCATGGTAGCTCATGCCTGTAATCCTAGCACTCTGGGAGGCCAAGATGGGTGGATTGCTCAAGGTCAGGAGTTCAAAACCAGCCTGAGCAAGAGCGAGACCCCGTCTCTACTAAAAATAGAAAGAAATTAATTGGCCAACTAATATATATAGAAAAAATTAGCCGGGCATGGTGGCGCATGCCTGTAGTCCCTGCTACGCGGGAGGCTGAGTCAGGAGGATTGCTTGAGCCCAGGAGTTTGAGGTTGCTGTGAACTGGGCTGACGCCACAGCACTCACTCTAGCCTGGGCAACAAAGCAAGACTCTGTCTCAATTAAAAAAAAAAAAGAGTAGACAGTGAGTAAAGATATGTTGAATGACTAAAGAGATTTTTCCCCTCAAGGAGCTTACAGTAAAGGAGATAAGATTAGGGATAACTCTGTACCATAAAAAAGAGAAATTCTGTGTTTCTTCAAAGAATTTTAAAGAAATGACTACAGCTGATAGAATTTTTAAATTTCCTATTTGAAATACATTTATGTTGTGTGTGTAGCCTGAGAGTAGAAAGGCTGTATATGTACACACCTTGGGTAAGGGCAGTGATAGGGATTAGCAAAGGGAAAAGAACCACATAAACAAAAAGGGCATAGTTAGAGAGAACCAGGCATGTGTAGAATAAAACCTTTTAGCAGAAAAAAGGCATGAAAGAGACAAGTGAACAACAAAAAGATTAGGAAATAATTAGAACGATTCTGTTAAGAGCCTTGAATGTCTGGGTGAGGGGTTAGACTTTACAGTAATACTACTGTAAAGTTTTGTAAAGCTACTGAAAGTTTTGAGCTGAGTGTTTTCAGTGGAATTAATTAACAGGCCGACTAAGACAAGTTGGTGAAGAATGCCACTGAAAGCAGAGAGATCAGTTTAAGAAGCCATTGTAATAAGGAAGGCAAGAAATAACAAACTCTGAATTAGGGTAATCACCATGGGTAGGAATAGAGAAAACGATGGGTATGAGAAATATTAAAGTTGAACTGATAGGAATCAGCAACTTTTTCAGTTTGTGGGATGGGAGGAGGGAAAAAATATTACAGAGAATTTTGGAGCCTTCGTGAGAGACTAGGAGGATGATGAGATTCTTAACAGAAATAGGAATCATAGAATTAGTAGGCTTAAAAGAGGGGTAATGATATTTCCACCTCATATATGTTCAGTTTTAAGTTCTAGGAGGAAATGTCAGGGGCTTTAAGGGGTAAAGCTAGACAGGGTATCTGTCTAGCCGGCAGCTAGAAATCTGGGACTAACCCGAGTGGAGGGATTACATAGAGCTATGAGATTACCAGAGCAGAGAGAATAGAGCCACAGCAGATCTCACTGTGTACCTGTGTTTATGGTATAGAATGAAGAAGAGGAATCAGAAGTGATCAGAGAGAGAGAGAAAGCATACAGAAAGGAAAGAAAACTAGGAAAATACTTAGTCCTGGACACCAACACAGAAGAGACTAGCAATAGAATCAGAAATTATGGAAGATAAAGAAAAAAATGGATATTGCATTTGGCAACTTAAAGACACGTGTGATGGCTCAGATTGGTATCAGGAGGAAAGGAGTTGGGTTGTAAGGGGTAAAAAGTGAATGCCTGATGAAGAAATAGGATCATTGTGCTTACATGAAGCAGACTCACTGCAGTACAGCAGTCTCCAACTTTTCGGCACCAGAGACTGGTTTCATGGAAGACAATTTTTCCACGGATGGGGGGGGGGGAGGCAGGAATGGTGGCCCAGTTCCTAACAGGCCATGGGCTGGCACCAGGGGTTGGGGACATCAGCTGTAGTAGCAATTAATTTCTACTCTGCAGAAATAAATTTTTTCTCTTCCTGCTTATCTTCACATTCTTTTCTCTAAGCCATGTACTTTAGTCTGACATTAGGAAAGATACAGAGAGAGGTTCATAGTCTCATTTACACAAAGAGCTTATTATAGTCATAAATTGTATCACAGTTTGCTTTAATAATTTGTGTTGTCTTAGGAAAGACAACTATGAAGCATCTCAAATAGTATTCTCCGTTCTTTGGATATAGGGGTGAATATTTGTTGACCAACTACTTCTTCAAAATCAATTATTCATATTCTAAAATTCAGTGTGCTAAACAGGATTTCTGAATGAAATAATTTTCAGAATGAAATGTGGGTACAATTTCTTTGATAGGACAGTGAATAATTAAATAGCTGATTGACTCAGTGAGGCATGAAAATTAATTCAGTGAACATGGGAAGATATTCAAGTAACCTTTCAAAGACCTCCGTAATAACATTTGTAATCCAAGAGCAAGGGCCAGGGTAGTAGAACAGTTGCAGCTTCCAAAAGCACAGACAGAATTCATTGGTAAGCTTCTTCAGGACAAGGATTGTATTGTCTTCTTATGAAAGTTTTGCTATGTTTCACACATTTTGGGCAGAAAATAGATGCTATTTCCAGACTGGAGAATTCTCAGAGAGAATTTATTTTAAAATATGCAGGTAATATTGTACGATACCTACCTGCGTATTAGCCAGTCTTTATCTGGATCAAAACATTCTTTCTGCAAAGACTCTGCCTCATTTAGACTTACGTCTTCCATCTGTTAGCCTCTCTTACCTTTCTGACTGAGATCAGATGCACTGGTACCCTATGACACATAAGAAACGCCATCTGTGAGGTGTAGGAAAGAAGTCCCTGAAAAGGCCTGGTTTCTACCCTTTGTGGTAGAGGCAAATTCCTTTCAGCAGTAATATGTCCATATCTACATTATTCCTACATGTGAAATTTTGATATGCTAGATAGTAATGAGTTAATGATCTATATAGAAAACTTGTCACAGGGGTCAGAACTCCCGTACTGATCAGTATGGGGTCATGCCTGTGAATAGCCACTGCACCAGCCTGGGCAAGATGGTGAGACCCCATCTCCTTTTTAAAAAAAAAAGGGGGGGGAGAAAAGAAATGAAATCATAGAACATTCAAAGACTTAACATGTAAACAACATAGCACTCCCTTTGACTTTGGGGTTTTTTTTTGGGGGGGGGCTGTTTTTTTTGTTTTGTTTTGTTTTTAATTGAGACAGAGTCTCACTCCGTTGCCCAGGCTAGAGTGAGTGCCGTGGCGTCAGCCTAGCTCACAACAACCTCAATCTCCTGGGCTCAAGCAATCCTCCTGCCTCAGCCTCCAGAGTAGCTGGGACTACAGGCATGCGCCACCATGCCCAGCTAATTTTTTCTATATATTTTCAGTTGTCCAGCTAATTTCTTTCTATTTTTAGTAGAGACGGGGGTCTCACTCTTGCTCAGGCTGGTCTTGAACTCCTGAGCTCAAACGATCCGCCCACCTCGGCCTTCCCAAGTGCTAGGATTACAGGCGTGAGCCACCGCGCCAAGCCTAATTGCTTAGTTTTAAATTTAGGCACTCTTTAAATTAGGTAAATTTGTGGAGGCACATAGCATAGGAAACTTGGAGAACATGTTGCATATATATCTTGTGAGAAGTGGTAACATTTTAAAAAGCCTTTTATAGGCCATTTTAATGGCCAATAAAAAGCCTTTTATTGGCCATTCCACTTGATGAAAAGTTATTTAAAATTTGGTATGTACAAAAATTGTTTGTACATAACAATACTTTTTGTATGGAGCCCCTACTAAGTGCCAGGCACCATATCCGCTGCTTTTCACACATATTTCTGATCCTCACCACAACTCTACCAGGTGGTGTTATTAACGCTAGTTTATAAAAAAGACAGCTGAAGCTCAGACTCGCTAAGTGGCTTTTCAAGGCCTAACAATTAGTTAAGTGAAGGACCCAGAATTTGATCCTAGATCTCTCTGAATCCAAAGCTTTAAATCTTTCTGTGCACCACTTTCTTTTCTGTATACTGCTTTGCTTCCCATTCTCCAAGCATTTTTCTTCAAAATTATCACTTCTCATCGTTGTCATAGCTATTTTTAAAAGCTTTCATTTATCTCAATACTAACCATTTTTTAGAAAATGTTCTTCATGTTGCTGCCGCTTCTTAATTTTGCAGGAATTATTGTTCACTTTTATGAACTCTGTTATAACTAGCCTGAACCTTGGGAATAAAAGCATATTTGGAAGGATGTTGAAAGGTCCATTCTTTTGTGAAGACCTATGAAAAACCAAGAAGACACCACTGATAAATATTTATTGAACACCTGCAGTGTTTGGGGAGCTGTTTAAGAGACTCAGGATTTGAACATGAGCAAAACCTAGTTCCTAACCTCCAAGGGAATTCTTCCTAGAAATGAGACAGACAAATAAGCACAAAACAGTATGAAACACAGAGCAGTAGAAAATATACAAGGTATAGTGTATGGTGGAGAATGAACAGGTAAGGTAGCAATTTGCTCTTTCTGGGCATAGTGGGCTTATCTTCCTAGAGGACAGGCTATATGAACAGGGCTTCTAAGCTAAATTTATATGGAAAAGCATATACAGATTGTGTACGGAGATCTCCTGCTATAATTTTATGCTGCATTAAATGACTGTCCCTATTACAAGAGGTAAGCCTGGAGACCCTTACTTGCATCTAAGTTAGGCCCCAACATTAGCACTGAAAACCTTAGTGGGCTGTTCAAGCTTGCGATATTTGTTCTTCTAGCATAACAATAATAGTCACTCCAATAGAGCAAGCCTTATAACAAATAACAAGTTTATACCAGTATATTTGCAGGTTCAGTTAAAAGATACTATATTGTCTAAGGTAGTATCATTACTATTTTTATAAATACTGCAATGATGATGTTAGTGATTGCTGTTATTTCACTTCCAAGATAAGGGAAATAAACATGATATATGGGATGTGGCAACTCTTGGGCTGCAGAGCAATGGCCCTTCGTGGGCAGTCTTTTTTTCTTTTTCTTTTTTTTTTATTTCAGCATATTACAGGGGTACAAATGTTAAGGTTACAAATATTGTCCGTGTCCATATTCCCCCCTATTGGCAGTCTTTTGTGCCCTCCATGTCAGATCTGAGAAAAGAATTTCCCATTATACATTTTAGGACAGAAATCCTAAATCCTTTTATTCTATTCAGGAAGATACTATTTATGGTTATACTGTCTTTCATTTTCTCTCTTCACATAGGGGAGTTCATCAAAGCTTTGTATGAGTCAGATGAGAACTGTGAAGTGGATCCCAGCAAATGCTCATCTGGTGAGCTGATAGACCATCAGAGCAACCTGAAAATGTGCTGCGAGCTGGCTTTCTGCAAGATCATCAACTCTTACTGGTGGGCTTACCTCCTTCTCTGTTTTTGGAACTTACATTTTTTCATATAAAAGTCACCACGATGTTGACCATTATTTCACAACCAAAGGAAAAATTGAAAGTTTCTCTAATAAAGTCCTATCTAAAATTGAAATCTCCATTTTAAGCCATATGTGAATATAATATTTCCCCAGAATATTAGTACTGCAGCATCTAATACCAAAAGTATTTTTCTTGCTTTCTGAAATATTTACTAGAGTTGAACAGATGTATTCATGAATTTTGATCATTGCTCTAACCCCTGCAATTGGTGAGATTTGGGAAGATTTTTGATGAACAGTCTTTAGAGAGATTATGGTGAACCATATTAAACCAGATGGTTTACTCAAGAGCCTCATGCCATTTTCCCACTTTGTAAAACTAAATTTAAACTAATCCAGAGCTTTGGGTTTGCAGTCTGGCCTTCTGTGAATTTTCTGTCACCTCTCAGCCATCAATAAGGTAGAGCCTCATCCCCAAATCTCTATTGGATCTTTCTCATAGCCTGGCCCTAGAGCAGAGATACACTGGATCAAAGTAGGGTCTCTTGTTCTTTGGGTTATAGTACTTTTATATTTAGAGTTGGTGTTTTTTTCCTTCCCTAGTGTTTTCCCTCGTGAGTTGAAAGAAGTATTTGCATCATGGAAGCAGCAGTGCCTGAATCGTGGCAAGCAAGACATCAGTGAGAGGCTCATTAGTGCCTCCTTGTTTCTCCGTTTTCTGTGCCCAGCCATTATGTCTCCCAGCCTTTTCAACCTCATGCAGGAGTATCCTGATGACCGCACATCTCGGACTCTGACTCTTATTGCCAAGGTCATCCAGAACCTGGCCAACTTTGCCAAGTAGGTGATGCTGTCATAACCACTTTAAAAATGCATTGTTTAACAAAATGCTTGAGTTCTAAAATTTGGATAGAGATGGGGTTCCTCATCAGTCATATTACCAGATTTTCACAGTGGTATTAATAAAAATAGCAAAAAATTGAAACAATTTAAATATTTGCTTTATACAAGAATGGCTAAGTAACATATGGTACATGCATTCAGTGGAATATTTGCAGCCACTACAAACAGTGTTTACAAAGACTATCTAACAATATGGAATATGATGAAGATAAAATTATGTTAAATAAAAGTACTAATAAAAATATGTTAGTCAAAACAAAAGGTGGGCTACAAAATGGTGTATACACTATCATCCCAGCAACATAAAAACACAAAAATCTGTAAGTATAGAAATGTTGTACAGAACAGTCAGACAAATTCTGTGGTTACCTTGTCTAAAACAACTGGCCTGGCCGCTTCAAAAAAGAAAATGAAAAATGCAAAAGGTGGAAGGGGACTATTCTATTATAGATTAAAAGAGACTAAATGCAATACTGGAAACTTATTTGGATCTTAAATTGGAAAAAAAAGATCTATAAAAGTAATTTTGGGGACAATGGGTGCAATTTAAATATGGACTGTATATGATTCATGAAAAATATTTTTAAAGTGTTAGTGGGGTAATGGTTTATGTAAGAGATATTCCTTATTCTGAAAAAAATGCTAAAGTATTTAGAGGTTCAGATAGTTCAAAAAAAAAGTATGTGCATGGAAAGAGAGTAAAAGTAAACTTGACAAAATGTTAACAGTTCGTTAATGTAGATGAGAGGCATTTGGGTGTTCATTATATATTCTCTTTCAACTTCTCTGTAAGCTTAAAATTTTTCAGTTAGGAGAAAGCAGCTGGGGAGGAAATGCACTCACAGTAAATAGCAGATATGCTTTGGTAGTTGAGTCTGACAGCCACACTTTTTTCCTTCTCCTTTTCATTGTTTTCAGAGTTTTCTTCAGTAAGTTTATATTGTTTTTATAATTTATAGAAAATAATTTTAAGAAGTGACTGGGAAGGAATTCCCACTTGCAAAATTGATCGCAGATTTACTCAATAGTGAGGCTTAAATACAAGTTTCTATTAGCAATGTATTGAAGAAAAAATTAGAACTTTAATGAAACAGGTTGTTTTCTAGTATAATATAAAAAGTGATGTTTTGGGAAGTGTACTATTTTAACTTTGTATACCTTATGTATGAGCCAATGCAGAAATACACAATTTGCTCATATGTAAGCTAATTCTGGTAAAAATTATTTCTAGTTTATTTTAGAACAGGTTTTATGGACTTAAACTGGTCTCTGAAGATAGCTAGAATTTAGATAGGCAAAGAAGAGAAGTTCTTCCCTAGTGGAAATAAATAGCATGAGCAAAGGCTTGGAGAAGAAAAAGAATATAATATATCTGAGAGACTTTGAAGAAGCTAGTAGTGTTGAGGATTTGTACTGGTGAGCATTTGGTAGGTAAGTGAGAACTATATTACAGAGAAATTTAAATAAATGTTAAAGTTCTGTGTAAAGTCAACTCAAAATGATTATATCTCTTTTCTTGAATATGTTCTTTCTCCTTTTTCTCACCCTCTACTTCAGGTTTGGTAACAAAGAAGAATACATGGCATTCATGAATGATTTTTTAGAACATGAATGGGGTGGAATGAAGCGCTTTCTTTTGGAGATCTCTAATCCAGACACCATCTCAAACACCCCAGGCTTTGATGGTTACATTGATCTGGGCCGAGAGCTTTCAGTTTTGCATTCCTTACTGTGGGAAGTAGTTTCCCAACTTGATAAGGTAAAGTAGGCTGATGCAAGATGGAGAACTTTAATGTCCCTGGATTCTGGAGAGTATCTCCAGAATAATAGCACTTACTCTTTTAGCAAATTGAAAGCAAACTTTTGCCCTAGAGGTCTGGTAGTAAATGGTCATCATTTCTGAGTAAAATATGTGATCTACGACCATGAAATTATTAGTATATATTTTAAATAATAATTATCTGAATCAATGGCATATATTTCTATAAGTTTATACATATAGATATAGTATATACCCAAAAACTTATCTAGAAACTAATATTATATATTGGTATATGTAGCCTTATTCATGTATAACAGGATGAGATGAAACCTCATATAGTAATGTCTAACAGAAGTATAGACTTAGGTAAATACTGAACTTACAATATTTAAGTAACTTTACCCATGAAAAAATTTCTTTACTGTACAAGTCAGAGAGTTTCATATAATTAAGAGTGCTAAGAATCATGTGGGATGTCAAAATCCAGTCTTCTTTCTCCACAGATGTGAATTAAGTTATAGACAACAATTATCATTTTTAATCATTTGTGTTCTGGTTATAAACTAAGAATTTTATTATATACCATGTTAATATATAAATGTATGCCATGCCAATCATTTTCTTCCTTCTGAAATTTTATGAAAAGGAATAGATTTTATAGTAGAAAATAATGTAATAGACTTTGGCTAGGTTTATCACAATAATTATTTATTGATCCTTTTGTTTGCTACAGGTACTGTATAAATATGTATATTAGAATAACTTCAAAAGACAAAGTTATTTTTCTGTAATAAGGATTTATTTGTTTTCCTCCATTTTTCTATTGCTAAAAATGCCATACCAGTAAAATTTGAAGGGCAATCAAACCTATTAACAAAGACCCTTCTCCCAAGGAATCATAAATGATAGTGTGTTCAAGAGTGCTTAAAACACTTGTAAAGGAGTAAACCGTACCTTATTCTCAAGGACCCCTCCTTCACTTTTAGAAATGCAAGCTATATTTTAAGTTATAGCTATGCTGAGAGTAAATTTCTCTAATATAAATCATGGCTCAGCTTTGTTGAGCAAGTAACAGCATTCTTTGGATGGCATTTGTACCTATTTAAGTAGGGTAGAAGAGTCTATTAATTGTTGAGAAGACAAAGAAGACCTAATGACAGGCATGTAAAACTGCCTAACAGTTGAGGGGACCTAAGATGCCATAAGACTGAGAATTCCCTAAAGGAAAAAATGATTGAGATGGATAATGCAAGTACTGAAGAGTTGTTCCTTGTTGCGTTAACTGCATCAGTGAGATGCAAATACACATATCTCGTGAAATAGGCCTGGTTTATTCAGGATCAAGGTCTTTTTAGTAGCCATTGTTGTGTAAACACACTTTCTCCTTTTTAATCTCTGTTTGGTCCTGGGAACCAGGAGTACATTCAGACATATCTCATTAATAGAGTTTATCTGATTTTGCTGTTTAAAAAAATTGTCTTACTGATGAAAACTCAGTTGGCAATGGGTCAGGGTTCCCAAGATCGACAGGGTTCCTAACTGTGTGCCCTGCTGTGCTCTGGATCCCTGAACGCAGCACCTACTTGTATGTTGGCATGCATTTCTTTGCTCACATGATGCCTTTTCTTTGGAAGTTTTGTCACACTAGCTGATCCTCTGATCTTGACGTTCTTTTTGGTCAAAAGGTGTTTGGTTCTTTGCCTGTCCTCCCCCACCTTGACCTACTAGCCTCCCAAAGATTTAGTTTGCTTTGCATGCCTATTTTAGTTGGAATGGCAATAGTTTGGTTGTTTTGAGCATGTCTTTTAATTTTTATTTGCATAATCCTAATTTCTATTTCCTTTCTCTCCTCAATGTCTGCTGCACCTTGTTTTGCCTCCTCCATTCATCTCGACGCCATGGTTCCACCGCTCCATAACAATGCATTGTGACCTGCCGCTCCCATATGCAAACGCCTCCCCTCCCTCCACCCTCCACCCTCCTTCGATGGGCACTGTTGTCCCAAAAAATCTGTGGTGGATGTCGCAATGCTTATTATCCAATTAGGGTGAAAATTCCTTCCTACAGGCGACCGTGGCAAAACTGGGGCCTCTCCCTCGTGTTCTTGCTGACATTACCAAGTCTCTGACTAATCCTACACCAATACAACAGCAACTGAGACGCTTCACTGAGCATAACTCCAGTCCAAATGTCAGTGGAAGCCTCTCTTCTGGGCTGCAGAAAATATTTGAAGACCCCACTGACAGGTATGAAAGAGAAGGTTTGAACTACTGTCTCAGAGAGAGATAACATTTAGATTTGGAAGAAATAACTTATTTGAATTGACAACTTTAACGTCATGAGCAATTAAAAAGACTCATCTGACCTGAGAGCAATACAATCATTTGTCATAATAATGCTCAAGATCTGGGATAACTTATTTTCTAGAGGATAGTATTAAGTTTCAACCAATCTATAAAAAACTATGTCTTAATGGAAGACATAGTTTTGGCTTTATGAAATTGGTATTTTCATACATGATAGCACTCAAACTCTGGAGGACTTCAGTTAAAACTAATTGATATTCATCTTCTACAGCTATCTTAAAAAAAAAAAAAAAAAAAAAAAAAACTAATTGATAGTAGGCCATGTCAGCTGGACCGGTAGATACAGTGTTGATGCTTAGACTTTGTGCCTTTAGCAGGGACCCTTAGTTGTATACTTAGAGCTTCTTTTCTTGAAAGTTTAGAAAGAACCAAATAAATATGAATTGGAATGCCTTGGGAAGGTTTAAGACCTAACTAGGAAATTATTGGAATTCTAGTAAAAACTGAAGATCATGATGGCATAGTATATGCGATGTTATTCTCTACCTTTGGGGGCAAACTAAAAATGCTGGATTTTATTCTGAGAATTGTAATAATGAAATCTAAGTTTCTAAAGAAGTTTAAGTATCCACATGAGGCCTGTGAACCTAGAGAAGGGTTCATATGCCTGAATCTTAATTATGTTTAATTTGTCTCAATAGAAATTAAGAGTCCTTTCCTTTTCCACAGTGATTTGCATAAACTAAAATCTCCAAGCCAGGACAACACAGACAGCTATTTCAGAGGGAAAACATTACTGCTGGTCCAGCAAGCCTCCTCCCAGAGCATGACTTATTCTGAAAAGGATGAAAAGGAAAGCAGCCTTCCTAATGGTCGGAGCATCTCCCTCATGGACCTCCAGGACACTCACGCTGCCCCAGCGGAGCATGCATCTGTCATGCTTGACGTGCCTCTGCGCTTGACTGGAAGCCAGCTGTCCATGACCCAGGTGGCCAGCATCAAACAACTGCGGGAAACCCAGAGCACTCCCCAGAGTGCACCCCAAGTGAGAAGACCCCTGCACCCAGCCTTGAACCAACCAGGCAGCCTTCAGCCCTTGTCATTCCAGAACCCTGTCTATCACCTCAATAATCCAATTCCAGCAATGCCAAAGGCCTCTGTCGATTCCAGTTTGGAGAACCTAAGCACTGCCAGTTCCAGAAGCCAAAGTAACAGCGAAGACTTCAAACTCAGTGGACCCAGCAATAGCAGCATGGAAGATTTCACCAAACGTAGCACTCAGAGCGAGGACTTCTCTAGGCGGCACACTGTGCCAGACAGACACATACCTCTTGCTCTGCCACGACAAAATAGCACTGGGCAGGCCCAAATCCGAAAAATGGACCAGGCTGGGTTAGGTGCCCGAGCCAAAGCCCCACCATCCCTGCCACACAGTGCTTCCTTACGAAGCACCGGGAGCATGTCAGTGGCATCCGCAGCCCTGATTGCTGAACCCGTGCAGAACGGAACCCGGTCCCGGCAGCAGTCCTCTTCCTCCAGAGAGAGTCCTGTTCCCAAAGTGAGAGCAATCCAGAGACAACAGACGCAGCAGGTAAGGGTGAGTGCTGGAGGGGTCTGGCTTCTTCTTGGTCTGTTTCCTTGGTTCTCTTACATAAATCATTGGGAAATCTAATGGCTAACAAGGTTTCTACTTAAAAGTATTTTCTGCAACCTTTAAATGGAAAAGGAAATGAAAAAGCTCTGCCTAGGTGTGGCAGCAAGAACGTAGTTGGACCACTGCCCTTAGGAGACCCTCTAACAAGCATGCAGGAGGCTCTTCGAGTGCTGCCTAAGTTTGCACTGAGAACACATCTGTGATGTGGAATGAATAATTAGACACTTAAAAACTACAAAATCTATAGGCCAGACATCTATATTTGAGGAATCTGGAAATGAATCTCTCTTAATTTTTTCTTAATCTTCCAGAATAAAACTTTGCATTCTGAGCTAAGAGCTTAATGTTATGACTCCCCACTCCGCCCCCAACTCTCTCTGGAAATACCAAGTCCCATGTGCATTTTCCTGGAGACGGCTAGAAAAATAAATAATCGAACACCTGTAGAGGCAAGGTAAAGGAGAGGGTAAAAAGAAACACAGGGGGTTGACAAGTGTTCTAAACATTTGTAAATTCCTTATATTTCTTTTTACATGGACAAGCCTAACTAGTGTCACACCCAATCTTAATGTGATAAGATTTCCAAGCTTTGTTCTTGACAAATAAAAAGGTTAGCCAAGAATTTAATCATTTCTTCCTTACGTATTACATTGTGAAGCATCAATACATATTTTGCCCTTTGAAACAAACTAATAACCTTTGGAGAGTGTGTGTGTGTGTGTGTGTGTGTGTGTGTGTGTGTGTGTGTGTGTGTTCATCTTTCATCTAAAAAGATTTTTCTCCTAGAAAGCTTTGTATTTGTTGAATTTTTGTGAAACCTAATTACACTTTATAAGTACTAACGAGCATGGGATTAAAAGAGTTCTATGACAAATCCTTTTATGTAGCAAAATAACAGGGCAGGGAGACTGCAGTAAAATTCCAATGTATCTCTTTAATATATTTGCGTTTTTATAGGTAAGCATTTACATTTGGCTGGTTCTGCCTCCAGTCTGCTCTGATCAGAGCCCCTTGACCCTACATTAATAGTTATTATTTAAAAAAGAAAAGTTGGGACATTTGTAGAATTCTTGGATGCCTAAATAGAGGAAGAAATGGAAAACATGACTAAGCTGACTCTGGGAGCAGACTTCCTGGATTGAACCTCCTAGTTGGTCATTCTTTCCTCAGAAATAAAATTTTTCTTCAGTCTTAAATTTTTCACTTTTATTTTGTTACATTTCACAAAATTTCATCAATTCATTTGATTTAAAAAGCATTTTTATTTAAAGAAAAGGAAAAAGTATATTTTTGCATATATGTCTTGTATTATAAATTTGCGTGTATATATAAACATAAAATTTGGGCCGGGCGCGGTGGCTCAAGCCTGTAATCCTAGCTCTCTGGGAGGCTGAGGTGGGAGGATTGCTCGAGGTCAGGAGTTCGAGACCAGCCTGAGCAAGAGCGAGACCCCGTCTCTACTATAAATAGAAAGAAATTAATTGGCCAACTAATATAGAAAAAAAAAAAATTAGCCGGGCATGGTGGCACATGCCTGTACAAGTCCCAGCTACTCGGGAGGCTGAGGCAGGAGGATTGCTTGAGCCCAGGAGTTTGAGGTTGCTGTGAGCTAGACTGATGCCACGGCACTCACTCTAGCCTGGGCAAAAAAAAAAAAAAAAAAAAAAAAAATTTGTATGTATAGGAGGCTATCATTCACACCTTATTGTGAATTAATTTCCTCACATTGCTTTTGTGCTAGTCTCTAGTTGAGATCAACTACTTTCAGAGAATTAAAATGTTTATTTGGAGGAGAAAGGAAAGAGAAGTAATTTCAGAGATGGATGCCGTGTGGCGGCAAACACCTGCGCAGGGACTTCAGGAGGCAGCGGGAGGGCACTGGCGCTGCAACAGGACGGAGGGACAGCATCAGATGGCAGAGTGGACAGGACAGGGGAAAGGGCCCTCGACCTACTTGCTAAAGCTTACTTAGGTCCAGCCCTGTACAGAAAAGGAAAATAAAAACTCTCTTCCTTTTTCTTTTGCTTACCCATTCTTCTGTATCAGGTAGTCCTCCATTCCTAGGGCCCATGACTCCGGCTGATTATTTATAAATATAATAAATAGCCTTTTGTGTGCTTATCTGGAACCAGTTATCATTTCTAACATTTTTGCTATAGGAAAATATAATACCTACCACATAAGCACATAATACACATTTCTGTGAGTTATGAGTAAAAGACTGCCGGGGTGGATGAGAAGTTGGGAATGCATACAGTCTCCAAACAAGCAATTTAAAAGTTAATTTTTGTGCCACTACCATTAATGAGTCAGGGAATGTCTGCATTATACCTGCATGAAGTGAAGCACAGCCACAGTGAGATAGATGTCCTAGCAGAGCTTTGAATATCCATCTTTGTTTATGCCTTTGCTGGTGCTGCCACCATAGTACCACTTGAAGCATAAATCACTGTATTTTGATTGTTCAAGTTTCTGGTTTTTCTGCACTGGCTTTTTCTACCCAGATGGTTCATTCTTTCAAACTTAAGTTGGTAGCTTTCTTTTTATTGTTTATCTTTCCATTTCTTGCTTGCTTTTCTCATCTCAATCCTGTGAAGCCTCTGAAGTTCTATATAATCAGCATACTTTCTAGGTGAGTTCCTTTACATATTTCAATTGCAAATTATGTTGGGGAATTCTTCTCTCCCCAAAACTAGAAGATTTCTTTGTGGGAATTGTTCTGTGGGTGGCTGTGATTATCAGTGGCTTTGTCCCATGTACATTCCATTTGTATCTTAGCATGAAGGAGCAACCATTGTTAGCCGGATAACTAGATTCAGTTTTCTCCATCTAGTGAGCAGGAAGGAAATAAAATCCCAGTGAAACAATTTATGGGGAAAGAATTTTTTTTAGGAAATTATCTTTTAATACTTTGACCCTTTTCAGCTTCTATTTGAATTTCTCTTTTCTCCTTTTCCTTCCTATTTTGTTTTTCATATATCATGTACTTTGTACAAATCATAGACTTTACTTATTTACAATATATCAGTAGTTCAGATTTAGCATGTTCCCTAACTTCAGAAATTTGAATTTGAAGAGACATTTTAAAATAGGTATTTGACAAGCACATCATTATGATGCTGCAGTTTTCATACTTGGATTTGTTGAACCCTCTCCTAACCAACCTCTTCAAGGACTCAAAGTTTAGTTATTAATTTAATCAGCCAATTCTTTAGTGTTGATAGCAGAAATGTTATTCATTTATGGGAACCTGATTATTTCAGACTATCCAGAAGCTGAAACCAACAAGTGTTTGTTTATATCTAGTAAATACTAGCAAGGAACAGGGAACTGGCCTGTTCTCAGCATAGCCAGGCAGTGACTAATTGTAGTATCGTTGAAACTGCTGTGTGAGGCTCTTTTGCACTAAAACATTATTTTTCCCAGAGAAACCCTATACACCTTTATCTCAAAAGGAAGATATTTTTACCAGGTATAGGGGTACATGCCTATAATCTCAGCTACTTAGGAGGCTGAGGCTAGAGGATCCCTTGAGCCTAGGAGTTTAAGACCAGCTTGGGCAACATAGCCCTCACCTCAAAATAAAATAAAAAAAATAAACAGAAAAAAAAATCGATAACTCAAAAGGAAGATAATTTTATTTATTTACTTTTCTTAATTTCAGAATATTACAGGGGTGCAAATGTTTTGGTTACATCAATTACTTTTGTACAGTTTGAATTAAAGTTATAAGCGTGCCCATCTCCCAGATAGTGTGCACTGTACCCATTAGGTGTGCATTTTCCTGCCCCGCTTCCCCTCCTAGCTGCTTGGTTTCCATTGAGTTTTACTTCCATATGTGCCCATGAGAGTTGAATGATTAGTTCTAATTTGACGGTGAGTACATGTGGTGTTTGTTCTTCCATTCTTGTGATACTTCACTTAGAAGTTCTATCCATGTTGTTACAAAAGGTACTGGTTTACCTTTTTTATGACTGAATAGTACTCCGTGGTATACATAAACAACATTTTATTGTATTGATGGTATTCATCTCATGTATTGATGGTCACTTGGGTCAATACCGTATCTTTGCAATTGTGAATTGTACTGAAGTAAACATTTGCATGCAGGTGTCATTTTGATAAAATGACTTTTTTTTCTTTGGGTAAATCTCTAGTAGTGAGATTAGTGGGTCAAATAGCAGGTCTACTTTTAATTCTTTGAGGTATCTCTATACTATTTCCCATAGAGGTCATACTTGTTTGCAGTCCTACCAGCAGTGTATAAGTGTTCAAAAGGAAGGTATTTGTAATGGGAATTCCTGCTCTTTTGTCTTTTCATTTTCTTTGGTAATCCTTTTGAAAGTCAGTGGATATAAATTCTCTTCTTGAAGTTATGGCTAAGCAAGATGGGAATCTGAACCACTTACCTACCTCTTTCCCCAGTTGCTTCAGCTTATAAAAGAGATGGAACAAACATTGAAGAAAAGCCTTTGATGTACTTCCAAAGGATTAGAGGAAAACATAGAGTATTCTCTTAGTAGTAGATTATATTTTAGTAATGAATTTTAAAGAGATTCCAGAATAATAATACTTTATTGAGCATCTGTTGTGCATTTAACTACTCAGAAGAACTCACTATCATTCATATGATATGATGCCATTAGATTGACAATCTAATTGGGAAATAAGACCAACACACATAAAACCAAAAGAAAAAATATAAAAGGTAGTATATAGTTTTTTCATATAAAGAGAATACTATAACAAAAATAATTTTGAAACAAAAATCACCTCTACTTTGTCCCAATCTAGCACAATATCTTTTTTATTTATTCAGTATTACTTTCTAGTCTCTTTATAATTTTGTAAAGGCTTTATCATGAATAGAAGAATAGTTAGGATTGATTTTATTTATTTTGTCAATTTTATTTATTTTGTTATTTTGACCACCTACTATATACCAGGCAAAGTACTATGATATATTAGGAAGTGGCTGAAAATAAGATTTAACCAATAAAATAGGAATAGACCTGGCATCCCAGTTCTAATTGTGCAATTTCTTGTAATTCACTGGCCATTGTGTTAGTCCTATAGATATCAGTAGCTACCACCATCACCGGTGGAATGAACCAACCCTTGTTTTTAAAGCTTCTCTCTTGACAGCTAAATCCCAGCTTACCCTAAAGTGCTTTTGTGGTGGTGGTGGTTGTTAATATGCTCTTAAGGGCTAAAATCTGTGTTTGTGTTTTCTCAGGAATACCATTAGTTTGCAGTGCATTTATAGGTACTCAGTAAATAGTTAACCCATAACAAATCACAGGGAAAGAAAGTTTATTCAAGCAACATCTTGTTAACTATATAAACCAGAAAGTTATTGAATTAGCTGCCTTGAAGTAATAAATTCCATACAGTAAAGTTATTAGTTTTAGTAGCTACTTTATCTCAAACTGATATTGAATAGAAAAATCCTGGTTTCATAGTATATCCTTCCTGTGCCCCTCTGTGCTAAAGTGATAAGATTATAAAACTTAAAAAGGCATTTATCTCCTTTAAATATTGATTTTATATTTTTAAGATCGATGCTACATTCTTTTGCCTTCCAGGTACATATATACCAAATAAAAACCTAACTCCCTTGTTACTCGGTTTCTTTTGGGTTTGGGGGGTTTTTTGTTTGTTTGTTTTACCAATACTAAAGCAATTTATTATGCTCTGCTCTTAAAATCTACTAGGGGGAGAACTATAGTGTGTGTGTCTATGTATGCAAAGTACCTTGCAATTTACAAAGTGCTTTTTACATGCTGTCTCGTTTGTTTCTCATAATAACATAATAACTTTTGTCTCTCATAATAACTTATTTTCCTTTTATAGATGATACTATACCGTATAGGCCAGTATTCCCAAAGTGTAATATTCAGAATTATTTATGTGTATTCAAAGTATTAATTTGATCTTATAATTATTTAATTTTGTTTAATCATGGGATTATTTTAATAATTATAAAAATATAAATATATAAATTTGTCTATAATATAAATATATTAATGTATAATAGCAAACTTATGATTTTACTCATATTGTTTAGCTAACTAAAAATGGTCATTTTAAAAGATAATAAGTAAATATATCAGCGATAAAAGTGGGTATGACAAACTAATGAAAGTGATACACAAATAAAATGTATGAAACACACCTACGTACTATAGTGGAAATAGAGATAGATTTTTAAGTACTAAGTTAAAACATACTTACATGTTTCTTGATCCAGTGGAGAAAATGGCTTTATAGAAGGAATTTCTAGAAGTTCATTCACAATTGCTTGTGTATGTGTGTGTGTGTGTCTATATATATAAATTACACACATCCATCGTTAGGTATGAAGCCATTTTTATTGATACATATCTATAATCTATTTATAAATCCACTAAACCAGTTTTCTTCAAACCTTTAAGAAATACCCTCGTATTACTTTTGCATGTTTAAGTTTTAAAGTTTCTCCCAACCCACCTCTTAGTCTCTGCAACCAATTGTTTTATGGAGTCCTTCTAATAACTCTCAAGATCATCAAAATACTCCTTCTTTTAAAATATTTGTTTGGAGGTTAGCTGAGTTCTATTCCAGAATGACATAAAGATTCTTAAGGTGTACAGTTCTAGATGGGAGAGAAAATTTCCTTCAATTATGAAATTATGGAATATCGGTCCTAAAAATATGAATCCATCCATTTTAATTATAAAGTTTATATTAGGTTTTCTTATCTCTCTCTCTGTCAGGTGGGACAGCAGGACAGAGGAAAAAATCATTATGTATTTCCACCATTGTTTGCGAAGAACGTACGAATGTTCAGGAGCCTAATATGAACTGTAATGTCCAGTGCCAGTTTTCAAAACATAAACATAGTAGTGGCTGACATCTAACCTCTCTGTAGCGCTCTGGAGCTCCCAGAGAGCTTCCACATGCCATTGTCTTATTCAGTGGTCAGGGTAGGTGGTGGTGCTGGTGACAGTACCTATATTCAGTAGATTAGGAAAACAGTATTAAGAGGTTGATTTAACTACTAAGTGGCAGAATTGCTACTCAAGGCCAGAATTCTTTTTTTCTTTTCTTTTTTTTTTTTTTTTGAGACAGAGTCTCACTCTGGGCAAGTGCCGAGGCGTCAGCCTAGCTCACAGCAGCCTCAAACTCCTGGGTACAAGTGATCCTCCTGCCTCAGCCTCCCGAGTAGCTGGGACTACAGGCATGCACCACCATGCCCAACTAATTTTTCTATTTTTAGTAGAGAGGAGGTCTCACTCTTGCTCAGGCTGGTCTCAAATTCCTGGCCTCAAGCAGTCCTCCTGCCTCGGCCTCCTAGAGTGCTAGGATTACAGGCGTGAGCCACCATGCCTGGCCAAGGCCAGAATTCTTAACACTCTGTATATCTATGTTGGAAAAGGACAATTTATTTAGCAATCCTAATGTGGCTAGGCTATCTGGTATCCATTGTTTTGATCCTGTATTCATCAAGAAACCTTCTAGTCTAAAATATGTACTCGTGAGTGGTCTTAACCCATCAAAAAGTCAGTGTTCTGTAAAGATAACCAATATCACTTGTTCTTCTCTTTCTCTAAACATGTAATATGAACACTAAGTATTTGGCATTAAGATATATAAATAGGCATCTTGTGAGTTTGTTTAGCATTAATCAGTTTTTTGGTTTCAGATTATCTCTGGATTAAGCTAGACAGTTTCCTCACCTGAATAGTCAACCATCAAGTTATGCTTGCTTGCTTGCTTTCCTCATCTTAATTTTGGTAGATAATTTGATACCTACCAGTATTTGGACCAATGGGCAAATTAACAATTTTAAGGCCTTTACTTTCTTTAGAGGGAGAGAAAGGGCGGTTCTTGTATATAATATATACAAATTTAAATTCAGAATATTTTGTGCCTATACAGATGTGTATTCCCTTTCCCCACGCATGGCCTTGGCACTGATAAAATATTACTTAAAGCAGAGAATATTTATTAGAGAACTGAAGGATCACAATTATGTCTTCCGAGAATAACTCTCTTTGTGAAACATCTCAAGTGGTGAGCTGTTTTGGGAAATGCTAATTACTATTTCTGATGCAGGTTCAGTCACCTGTGGACTCTGCCACAATGTCCCCAGTAGAGAGGACAGCAGCCTGGGTTCTAAACAATGGGCAATATGAAGAGGATGTAGAAGAAACAGAACAAAATCAAGATGAAGCCAAGCATGCTGAGAAGGTAGAACCCAGTCTGTCTTTATTGACTTATTGTCCCCAGAAGTGGGTGGCCACTAAACGGGTTATCTAGCCAAGAACACGATGTCCTTCCAGCCCCCATCTTCACCTCCACCTCTTATGTTAACCATCATATACACATCTATGTAAAATGGGTCATTAGTGTGTGTGTGTGAACATATGTGAAAAATGTCCATCTTGCTGGGGAGGTGAGTGGTTAGCTGTGCCTTAATGTAGAGGATACCCTGCTATTCATTTCTAGTCATTTCAGGTAAATATTTAGTGTTTTTGTAAACTGGTTGTTAGTCTTCAACCAAGGACAAAATTACCCTATGATCAGACGTCTTTTCTGTATTTTGATAACAATTTGGTTTTCTTTAGTTTTTTTTGGGGGGGTTACCTTTTATTGATAAAGAATGTCTACCTCTATAATTCTTAAGAGGGCATAATCTATTGTTTGGGGTTTTTTTAACCAACAGTGATGTGGGAGGAAAAAAAAAGAATCATCAAACAAGAACTTTGACATCATGTATAGCATTATCACATTTGACTGACAACCAGACGATTAGCTTCTTTTTACTTATCAGAATGATCCTACACTGTGCTTATTAATGCAGTCTGCCTCTTCAAAACTCATAAAAACTCTCATCTTTGACCTTCTAGATAAATAAGCATAATTTAGGACCATGATGTTAGGTAAGCAATAGCTAGTTGTCTGTTTGTCAATTAAATGGGATAATTTTATGTGAAAATAAATTGCATTTTATAAAACACCATACAGATTTATCATTAATTATTAATGAATATAAATAAGTACACCACCCATAAGAAATCTTAGGCTTTTCACCTAACCTAGAGAATTTTACATTCCAGTGTCCTCAAACCTGAACTACAGAAACTTCATACAAGAAAGGACCATGTAACTAATTGGATTACTGAATTTATGTAAAACTTCTTAGGGAGAATACAGACATATGTGTTCCAGCAGGCAGTACCTGATTGGGCAGATGAACCGTAACATGAACACAGGCGAAGAGGCAATATTAATAAGCCCTAGAGACACGTAGGCCTTTGTTTAGTCCTTGAGACCTGAATATTTTACACATTTTAGTTAGGTAGAACACAGCAATAACCTCTGCCATAAAATTCTGTTTATTGATTGAGTGGCTTATCATTATAGAAACGTTGCCTTTTCTCTAAGAGCTGATTCTAGTAGAGTGAAGGAATAGTGATCTGATGAGCCAAGTTGTGTCAGAGGGCCTACAGTACAGGTGATGGTGCAGAAAGCTTTTGCTCTTGTAGACAACTGGCTTTTGACTTATTTTAAGTGATATGTCAGGGTTTTAAGTGCTTTTTCTCTTCCCATTTGATACCAGCACAGACTGGATGTGGCTTGCAGTAGTGGTGGCTTAATGTAGAGAGAGATATATAAATATATAGCGTTTGGAATGCCAAGTTAAGATGTCAGATGTAATCTTAGGAACCAGGGCGAAGCTCCGTCAGCATCTGTGCCAGTTTATGATTGTAAACGACACTAGCAACAAACAGCACAGGGAGCGGCAGTTGAGACAGCGTCCGGCTACATTGCTCAGGGTCTCTTTTGTAGAAAAGTAAATCACTAATTTCTAAAACCAGTGTAACTCTGTGTTTTCTCTCCTTGTCTCCTCTAAGTATGAACAAGAAATCACTAAACTGAAGGAGCGCCTGAGAGTGTCCAGCCGGCGGCTGGAGGAGTATGAGCGCCGGCTGCTGGTGCAGGAGCAGCAGATGCAGAAGCTGCTGCTGGAATACAAGGCCAGGCTGGAGGACAGCGAGGAGCGGCTACGCAGGCAACAGGAAGAGAAAGACAGCCAGATGAAAAGCATAATCAGCAGGTTAGAGGACCATCTGGTGGCAGATCCAGGCTTGTGAGGGGTACAAAGAAATGCAGAGATGATCCAAAGAATCTTGAAGGAATGACAGCAAAAGCTGTTCCCAACCTTGTATCTACTCTGTGGCACTCAGTACAAACGTGACAACTGACAGTATCTCTTAAAATATCCTAAATATACATACGGCACTTCTTACGAAGATAACAGTAGTCTGTTTTCCTTTAACCATAACAATTAGAAAAAATAAAAACTTAGTGACTCACTTGAGAAGTCTTAGAAAAAGAGTTTCAAAAATGTAAGTATCCAATGCCCAAGACTAACTTAATCTTTCAAAATAAGTCGTGAAACACAGGAGTTTTACTGAATGTCTGTAAGGCCAGAGGACCAGACAGTTCCATAGATGCCAAGGGAGGGTCAGTTTTACCAAACATTCACTATGGGCCAGGCACTTTTCTAAACACTTTACAAATAATAATTTGTTTAATCTTTATCACAACCTCTACATAGGCATTATTATGATCCTCATTTTACAAATAAAGAAACAGGCAAAAAATTCATCAAATAATTTGCCCAAGGTCACATAGTTGGTAGTGTACCAGGACTTGGACCCAGGCATTCGGACTCCAGATTCCATGCTCCCTCAATATTGAGGGATATTCTACTATCTCTCAATATTGCCTGGTGCTATGGGCAGGTCAAGTAAATGGAGGACAGAAAAGTTCATAGTTTTACTAGTATGGAGGTAATTGGCAATCTTACTTAGTAGAGTTGCAGTGTTAAACATCAGTGGGTTAAGATGTGAGCGATGGATGAGAAAGAAACTAGACCTACTAAGTATATAGTACTTTTTGAGGAAACTTAGCTGTTCAAGGGAAGAGAAAGATAGGACAGTGGTTCTAGGGTAATTTGAGATTAAGAGAGGGTTGTTTGGTTTTTGTTGATTGGTTTGGTATTTTAAGATTAAATAAGTTGTCCTGAGGGAGGGATCTTATAGATGAGAAGGAAGAAATCATTATTTTAATACTGTTCCAAAGGAGATGAAAATACCCAGGACACAGGCACAGGTAGAAAACTTAGCCTTGTATTAATATGTCTTCCAAGGTGGGAGAGAAGAAGAAAGAAAAGACAGTTGCAGGTCTGTTATTAGGAAGAAGTGGAAATAATTATGATAAGTTTTGAGTTTCTTGTTTTCTACATTAGCTAGCCTTGTCTTTGAAGATGTTGACATCTCCTTCCTGCTGCATTCTAGGCTAATGGCTGTAGAAGAGGAGTTGAAGAAGGATCATGCTGAGATGCAAGCAGTTATTGATGCAAAGCAGAAAATAATTGATGCACAGGTAAGCAGGCGCTGAATCTAGCAGAAGGCACTTGTTTATGATAACTAGTATTTGCTGACTTCTCACCTTGCAAACACCAAGGCAGGTATGGGAAAATGAGTCATCGAAAAGTTCTTGGCATTACCTTTTGAAGATTAAATGAGTTATGTGACCTCCATTACTTTTCCTTTCTTTCACTGGTGACAAATCTGTTTACCCAGCATAATATTAGCGTGCTTTGTACAACTGCTTAACAAATCTCAACCTAGTGCATGATGGGGTTTGCTTCTTTCCTTATGGAAAGGAGGGCATTCTCTGTGGGGGTAACTGTGAAAGTGCACGGCATGTGTCTGGCTTGTGACCTCCACTGACCATTGCTTGGCTGGGCTGTTCGTGATTTTGTCAGTCGGTCATGTCCACTACCCTCAACCTCTAGCCTCAGTAATGGAACTGCAGGGGGAACACAAGAGTGTAAGAGGATACCTTTCCTTATTACTTTTTTTGGTTCAGGGTTTGGCATTGCTGCTTGGAATGTGCTTGGCTGCTCTTCTCTGTTGGTGCTATGCTTAGGCTCTTTTGATAAAACTTTAAAAGAAAAGGTTGATGAGATCATAACCTAGGCCTCTGCTCACTGTAACTTACACCTGTGACACCAGTTGGAGTGTTGATTGCCAGGAGCTCCTCCCAGGGACGTGTCAATGATCAGAGCAGGATCCAGGGGCGGGACATGTTTCTAACTCCTTTTCATTTTATCAATGCAAAATATGGTTGTATTTCTTAAAGTGAAACAAATAACAAAAAGCAAGTACTGTTTTGATACTGACTAACCTAACCACTGAATGCATCGCCTCCTTAAAGACAGCACAGCCAGGTTTGCATTTTTCAACTCTAAATACCATGTCCTATCCCTAAGCTGTGAAATAAAAATGAGAACAAGGACTTTATGCATAGATGTTCCACTTCCTGCTCTACGTATCAGCCAGTAGTCAGTGCAAGATAGAGCTGCCAGTATTCTTAAACATACACTTAACAGTCTAGTTTCCTTACAGAGTCAATATGGGGATGGAGTTTATTTTTCAACGGAATTGGGAGTGAGGCTGAAAGCATAGTCATGGAAAGAATGCTTCGTGGGCCTCCTACTCCTTGCTGCACAGTGAACTTGGAAGTCAGGTGTAAGTTGTGATGCTTTCTCATCAGCATAGCTCCCCAAGATATTTGGACTCTTAAACTAGATAGTTTTTGGATATTTAGACCTGCTAAGAATAAGAAGAAAGATCTACTGTAATTATCTTACTTGGTTCTTTTTGGAAAATCTTTCTAGTTGTTCCCAAGGTGGGTCAGAGAAGGATAGTGGAGACAAGGCTATCTCACTACATATACTATAAAAATTCATCCCAGAGGCTAAGAGAAGCAGCCTGGATAAAGAAGGCAATTGAATCAGGAAAACTAGTGTTGATAAGTTTTCACTTTTAGAATTTCAATATAATATAAAGCAGGGAGAGTTCTATTAATAACCATACCAGGAGAGATTTTAGTACTAATTAGATAAAGCAGACCTTCTTAATAATTTCAGCTACTCTAAAACTGTCAGTCTGAAGCAGAGGAGGGTTGGGTGTGCCACAGTCATGGCTCTGTACATGTTGGCTGCCAGGATGGCCTCATCATTAGCTCCTAAAGATTTCTACCCCACTCCCGATTTTGACATTAGCCCAAAGTGACTGGGTATAAGTAGAAGTCATAGGCAGGGAGGGAATCTGGTTCATCGGGGCTCAAAAGCTCTGGAAAATAAGGACATTCGCTCATTTAACCAGGATGGTGCCATGTGCAAGGATGGGAGAAATATTATTCTCAAAGCATCAGTCAGTGTCGGACTTGTGGTCTGGCTACACTGGTTAAAATTGGGGGTCCATACTGTGTTTCCCCGAAAATAAGACATACCCATCAAATAAGCCCTAGCAGGATTTCTAAGCATTTGCGCAATATAAGCCCTACGCTGATGGGCGTGGCTACGCAGCGCATCTGCACAACCCATGCATTTCGTCTCAGAGCGGTAAAGAAGACGTCTGCCCCAGGAGAGCTCTATTGCTCGACATGGGAGGTTGGGGCCAGTGGCTCTAAAGGAAATAGAGTCGTAAGAAATTCAAGATGGAATTCGGGGTTTGGACAGTTATGATGATGTTCCAGAAGAAGACGACTTAACTATATTTGAATAAATGTAGATTGTTGTGCCGTACTTAAAAAAAATAACACATCCCCTGAAAATAAGCCCTAGGGTGTCTTCTTGAGAAAAAATAAATATAAAACCGTGTCTTATTTTCGAGGAAACACGACACTTCAAGGCAGTGGTTTTCAAATGGTTTGGTTCCCTGGACTATGTTGATGGACCAAGGCACCTTCCATAGATTGATATCAAGCTTTCATTTAACAAGGACCACTCTCAACTAACGGATCAAATCATACCAGGGTTGGTTAAATATTAATAAATTATCCTACTGAGACCCACTATGAAGAATGCTTGGAGAATCCACTAGACCACATTTTGAAAACCACTGTACCATGCACAGTACAAATCATAAACACTAAAGATAGTTATTTTTAAATTATAGTGTTCTTAAAAGGAAGGTTTCTCAATTTCAGCTGTTGGCTTACTGATACATTAAGATCTTACAGCAAAAGATTTTGAACATCCTTTGGCGTCCTTTGCAATGTATGACTTTTTATATCAGATCCTTTCTTTTGTAAGAAACTTAACCTCTTAAGTGATTGATGGAGCAGAGCAGCCCTTCTGGCATCATTTAATAGAATGAAGACATGTTTGAGAATGAAAGTTTCCCAGAGAGGTAACCCATACTTTTACATCCCTGACATGTGCCTTGGTGCCACTGGTAATAAAAAATATTTCTGAAATGAATACAGTTGCTTTACTTATACTAGAGTTGAACTCAACACTTCCCAAAACACTTCCCAGGTGCCCAGTGAACTGGTTTTCAACTCTCTCAGCAGCCCTGTGCTCACACAGGAAAAGCTTGTCCCTGAATTCAACCTCTCCCTCTCCTTGAGTCATTTCACACTACAAGGCACAGGCCTGTGCCAGCCACTTTCTTTCTAGTACTGCAAAAGGATGAGCACTCCATTGGTGAGTGGCAGGATCACCTACCCTGGACCTTGTAGGCTGGACGTGGGAACCCTAATGACGAGTACTAAGGAGCCATTTCCTAAAAATAAGACCAGGGAATGTGCCACCTTTCCCTTCAAGCATGAGAAGACACTGTGGCTCCCAGGATCTCTCCATGTGACTCGGATGGAGAACTGAGAAGGGTTTCCTACTAAGAGAAGCAAAGCAGCTGCCTAGTTACTGTTGCAAGTGATATCTCCACTGTGTTAAATTACAGGTCATAAATGGAGATGAGATTATTCAAACAGGCAAGTAAACCCTGTCTGTTCTCTAGCTGAGCAGTCCCAGCCCTGGTCCAGTGCGCTGGCCTCCTACACATTCCAGCTCCTGCAGCTCCCCGCGCTGAAATCCTTCCTGTCAGGCGCTAACTAGCTTGTTTTGCCTTCCAATCCAGGCAGATCCAAAATGTCAGAGTATCTTTTGCCAACTGAACTTGACTTTTAAAAGTCTCTATTTGATTTTTTTTCTTTTACTTTTTGTTTCACTTTGAGAGGTTGGCAGTGGGGGGAAATTACAAAGGGAGTTTCTCCTCGTGGAAACTTTCAGTGCTTAGTAAGCGGCTTGCTTGGCTTCGGTTGTTGCCTTTGTAGGCAATAAGCAATCACAATCATCCTCAGCCTTCTTTTGTGGCCCTTTCAGAACCAAATAGTTTTTTGTGAACAACTGATTTTTTTTAATGAACCCTGGAGATTCTGCTTTTCTTAGTATTGAGGCCTTATAATTTATCCAATTTGGAAATATCTTTTCTTCTTTAATTATTCAAGAAATTGTCAGTTATTCTGTTTAGAGATTATTCCTGCCATGGCGGGAAACATCATGTTTTGGTTCCTGCCTCTTGTTTTCTGGTAACTACTGGCCAGTCCTTACCTATTAGATTTTATTTTTTTATTATTATTTTTCTTACCTATTAGATTTTAAAAGATCTGTACTTGTTATCCCAGTAAACTCCATTGGCTATAATTTTTTAAAATATATACAATTATTATTAAAAAGCCTTGCAGGTCTTTCTTTGAGTTTTGTCTATCTTTAAGATGAGTTACCTTCCCAAAATTAAAAGCATCTTATACTAGATTAGTGGTTATTTAAATAATGCTGCTTTTTTATATCTTACCAAATGAGCTCTCCATCAGGAAAAGAAGAATTGTTTTTTAAGTGATATTAACAAGCCTGAGCTAGGGTTTTTTTCACACTTTTCAAACTATGACCAGCAACACTGCTGCCATATAGATCTGCCCTGCCCTGACCTCAAAAGGAACCAATTAAAGGGAAGCATTATTTGATGCCATGGTTATATATGGCTTTACCTAGATTGTCCCCCAGGGCAGTGGCCTTCACTCTGCATCCTCTGGCAGCATGTGTCGCACAGGGCAGCGCTGCATGGCGGCCCTGGGTAGCCGCTGCGTCGTGGCCGGAGCAGCACCAGCCCTCAGCCTCCTTCCTCCCTCTGAACCTTCCCGTGACGAGACCTTACCATGCTTTTCCCTGGGTAAATTCAAAACTCGTAGGGTAGGAAAGCTTTTGGCTTTGGAGTTGTTCCACATGTGCTATTTTCTTTTTAATTTCATGAGTATAGGTAAAAACTATCCTTCTCTGCATTAACTTGTTTTCTGAAAAATATAGATTTCATGCTGGAAAGATTCTGGAATGATTTACCTAGCTGCTGGAGCTAAGATAAAAGACTGATAATGTTTTGATGCAATGATTTTTTTTTAAATTAGATGGTCCTTTCCTTTAGAGTTCCTTTTTTCTCTCTCTCTTTTTTCCCCCTTAGTTTTTGTTTGTTTTTGGTTTTTGGTTTTTGTTTTTGGTTTTTGTTTTTTGGGGGTTTTTTTTTGGTGTGTGTATTCAATAATCCTTGATTCCCAAATATCGGTTCTAAAGCATTTTTTTCCCCAGAGACTCAAAAGTAAAATGAAAACAATCTCCTCTTAGGCAGCTTTCCTGGAGTAACTCTGAGCTGGAATGGTTCTAGGAGCCTGTGTTCTCTGTTCGTTCTCATGTGTTATGTTGACTGCAACCCCTTTCGGCCACATCTCCCTCCCCATGTTCAAATAACTCCTTGGTCTGAGCTTTTTGGCTGCTTTTTCCCCCTCTTGCTGTTGCATCCTCACCTTGTTGGTGACTCTAAACTACCACCATGTGTTGTTTTAATTTTGAGCACAATGTGAATTCTTTACCAATGTGACTGATGACGCCCTCTTTGGGGGGCCAAGAATCCATAGATCACATGCACTTCTCCTCTGTGAAATGAAACCTCTGGTGCTTCTTTCTTTGCCACCTAATTTCCATGTTTCAATTTTGACCAAAAGCACTTAGTAAGGCAGCTTGACACCTGTGTTACATAGTTTGAAGTGACACGTTGTGTCATTTTTACATGATGGCCTAATGTCCCAAGAGATTATTCATAACAAGTCCTGCTATGTTGGAAAGAAAAAAAGAGAGAAAATAAATGCAGACCCACTGGGCTCAGGCAAAGCTGAACCTGCCCAGTTGCAGAAAGAGGCAGAGACGTTCCATTTGTCTGGGAAGCACCATGCGTGCTGCTGTTTGAAAGCATTGGACTAGTCATTTGGTAAGAAATGTTATATCCTGGGTGTCGTCTGAATAAAGCCATGATTGGTGTGTTGTAGGAAAAACGGATCGTGTCCCTGGACTCGGCCAACACCAGACTGATGAGCGCGCTGACCCAGGTGAAGGAGCGGTACAGCATGCAGCTCCGCAACGGCATCTCGCCCACCAACCCCACCAAGCTCTCCATCACGGAGAATGGTGAATTCAAAAACAGCAGCTGCTGACAGGTTTGGGACTAGACAGACTGTGGTGGAAGGAGACAGAAGGAAATTGACCCGCTCTCCTATCCTCAACCCTTTCCCCAGCCCCTCCAGGTTTACAGAATGTTGCTGCTGCACGATGGCAATGCGGTGAGCCTCTGGCATGAAGAACGGAGCCTTGTCTCTCAGGGCGCGAGGCGCCGACCTCCAGCCGCGCTCTCCCCCTCACCCCCGTGTACATAGGGAACTGGTTCTGGGCCATGTACAGAAAACGCCACTGTAATATACCAAAAGGAAGTTAATGTAGATTGCCTTTTTGATTATTGCTATTTTTATTATTTCCTCTTGTTGAAAGCACTGCAGTTGTTAGAGGAAGAAAAGTAGGAGCCATGTATGAGCGGGAAGTGAGCCTGTGGGTCCAGCAGGCAGAGGCCGAGCGCCTGTCTGGTGGCAGCGCGTGAAGTGCGGGAGGACTCGGTCAGGACGAAGCATTCAGGGATGCATCTGCCAGTTTAAAGACCCTACTCTGGCCCCTGTCCTTTAGGACAACGTGCAAATACCAAGATCCATACAAAACAGTAATTTGTCCCACTGATCAGCCAAGACTGGTTCTGGTCAGATAGCTAATCCAATTTGGGAGCTCACCATTTCAGAGGAGACAGATAAAAGTTGTATCAAAACTGGACTTTTAGGAGTGATTTCCATTGAACTCCTGTCAATATGTTAATTTCCTCTATCTACAGCAGATAGGAGTTTTCTGTTTTAGATAGGGGACTTTTTAAAAAATCCCAATTGTAATAAAGGATGTTCTTTTTCCTCTTTTAGAGTTTACAAAACTATAAATATTTGTGTCTCTACCTACCATCTTCATCTTCATACATCCACTGCTCTTTCCTCCCCATGGTGGGAGCAGTCATCACTAACAGGGTTTACTCTCCCCTGGAGAGGTTATTCAAATATTCTGTCCATAAGCCATCCGAAATAAACACCCTTTCTTCCACACAGAAAAGGGCTAACCATACCATAGCAGGAATCTCTGAATATTCCTACTAACATTTTTTTCTATTAAGTTATAATTTTTGTTTGGAATAAAGATTTATCTGGTATACTAGCAAATCCATGGGCAGGGTAATTTTATCTCCATCTTTAACTTTTAAATTGCTTCTTCCTTTTATCTCCTCAGTAAAATTTGGAAAGGAAATCCAAATCTGACATCACTCCTTAAAAGTGGTGATTATTTGTTAAAAAAGAAAGAAAAAACAAAACTGAAAGTTGTCAAGATGGCACATTCCAATTGTTATTCCCATCTAAGACCTGGCAACAGTGACAGTTTCAACATTTGTCATCCATGGCTTTATTATAGGACAGAAAAAAATCATGGAATCTGATTTATTTCCTTTTTTTCTAGAGGTTTCAAATGTCATCTTGAATGTAACTTTGATTACCAGAAGTATGGAATGTTGTATGTTAGACATAAGTACAAATATATATACATATATATTCACACATATGTACATATAACTGCACAAATAGGAAAATTTCATGCCTTCTCTGTTGTCAGATATAATATTAAAAGGATCTTGAATCTCTTTAAGCAAGATCTAAGAAGTTGTTTTATATTGAGAAAATAACAATATTTCTCAAGTTGATTTTTTTTTAAATTATAAACTTTAAGGAATTTTTTTTTAAAGGAAAAGGGGAGGAATAAAAAGACCCAAAGAAGCCGTATACATGGAGTGAGTGTTTCTATGTAACAGAACATTTACAAGGCAGCAGGGATAGTGCCCTCTTTGAGTAGAGCCCAGACAGACACCAGGCCTTCCTTTTCACAAAGTCCCAAGCTGGCCTTCTAACCTCTTAAGCTCTCCAACCTTACCTCTCTCAGGTGGATCTTTGTGTTGGACCTTACATCTCAGCAATCTCACCATGGCCTCATAACCCACAACCTTTTAAAAGTTTCTTTCATAACAGTCCCTGTTTGTGCCAGACAGAGATCTGAAATAGAGCTTCTCATTGTGTTTATTTGATCTGCAGGCTTTATGCCCAGCTGTTTTGACACTTGTGTCTTTTCTTGACCTTGGTAGTTTTAAAAATTCTTATATCTTCCCTGCAAGCTGAGGCCACACTGTGGTCAGAATCATTTATTTTAATAGGAAGAAGAGGTTATCAGTTCTGAAGTAGTGCCCTTTGTTGAGGAAGAGAGGATGTAAACATAGATCTATTCTTTTTCTGGCTATTCTCAAGTCTGGCCATATTTAATTCATTCTTTGTAAAAGCCTTCCATTGTGCCACAGAAAACCTGGCAAAAGAACTGTCTTTCAACGGCCTTAAGTATGTAACATGGGTGATGTCTTGCATTGAGGTTTGGAAGTTCTCAAGTATTAATTATAGATTAGAGAGAGCTGATAAAATTACCTATATTGAGAGCTGAGAGGAGACCAAAAAAATCAAGTATGTTTTTGGTGGATACAAATTATCTTGTTAGCATTGTGGGGGCTCCTTAGAGGGCTGTGTACATTGGAAGATTAAATGGCCAAAGTATTTGGACAGATTATGTAGCCCTTTACTATCAAGTTATCTTGAATGAAAAGAGTAAAAATAATAATAAGAGGGTTAGAAGTAAGCTAAAAATTCAGAGTTGTTGCCAGATGTTAGATTATCTTTTGAGTCTACTTCTATCCAAATATTTTTTTATTTCTTTAGAGAATGCTGCAATCTATTGACGTTATTCCAAATGATTTTTTTAAGTATGGAAGAAGGCAGCACAGATGATAATTTTTATGGAGGTGTTAATTGGCTTCTCTAAAGTCCAAATAGGTACATAGCCTCTGTTTTGCTGTGAGGAGGTGCATGGTTGAAGAGAGGCACATGGCTGAAGAGAGCCATGTCTTGTGCATTGCCTGTTGCCCTCAATAAATCACCACATTGTGGGGTGCAGTAAAGACCAGGGTTGAGTGGTATTTGGAATGCAGGTGAAGTGCTTGTAAAATGCTTGTCCAGCTCACAACCAGACTTGACCATTAGCAAGGACAATGTTGGAAATGTAGGAGTCAGGAAAAGAGCCTCATATATTCCTCTTTTATATTACTGAAGCAATAAGCTATCTGAGCTGAAGCAGCGAAAAAGGTTACATTTCCATCATATTCCCTGAGTCTCTGCAATAAAAGCTATGTCAGCAGGGAGATTATAACTGGGTAACTGTAACAATCACTTAAGTACTACTATGTTCTAAACACTATCACCAAGGTACTGTTTGGGTCTAGGGCAGTGTATTAAGTGAAATGTGATAAAATGAGGTAATCATGCTGCTATTGCTTTTTGATTTTTTCACTTAGTATCAAGTCAGAATTAGCTAACTGGTCAGCTTCTACCTTTCTCTGTGATGGTGTTAGACAGTGAAAGAAAAGGTTTTTTGGCTACAACTGCTATAAGCATAAACTATATGCTCTTGAAAATGAGCTTGATTTTAGAAGTAGATCTTAGTCTACCCATGGCCTTTGTTTATGGATCTGTGTGGTTCATAGACCGCTGGCTTTCACTCTGTCTTCAGAGCTATACCAGAGTAGGAGCAGAGTTCTTTTTTGGAAATCCCAGAGCAAGACAATTGTCATCAAGTGAGTTTGTATTATGTATTTGTTCTGTCTCCCATCTAGGTTTACTTCTAGTAGTTTCTAGTTTGGAGCTCCTAAGAAGGCTGATCATGGGACTGAGCTTGAGGAAGGAGCCCTCTTCAGGGTTTCTTCAGTCTCATCCGGCTACTCCACCTGACCCCAAGCCAGGCCCACCCTTGACACTAGACGACTGGTCACTGGGCCAAGAGCCCAGGCCACAGCCTCATTGCATTTTCAGCTACACCTTTGGAGGCCACCTTCTCCTACAGACTGTGGAAAGCCAAAAGGGCTTTCCTCTTCATGCCCTTCCCTTCTCACATATAGTAGTGATATCTCCTGCTTGCCCCAGCAATAAGTAGTTGCCTTCCCACCCCTTACGTGGGGGCCAAGAATTTGGAATACTTTGTTTATCAATATGTGAATTGAAAGGACTTATTTTACTAGTTTATTAAAAGCAGGAAATGTTGGGGTGTTGAATTTTTAAATAGAATCTCTTTTCATATTTGAATGATTATTAATTCTAGAAGCATTGTCTTGTTGTCATGACCCAATTATGAATTCTGTTGAGCTTAGGAAGAACAAAAGTGATGAAATTTGCATGAGCTAGAATAAATATATTATGAGGAGTAAAAGAACCTGAGGAAGATACATGATCCAGAAAGGTACTAAGGCATAGCATTCTTCTTGGTAGCCCAGAGGTTCAAGGAAACAGGAAGATTTATATCCCCTTTCCCACTCTTAAAATACACAGATACACAGAAAGGCAGTTTCTGTGGACAACGCATGAACACCCACACAAAACACATAATTCCTAGGGCTTCCTTTTTCTAATGTTATTCCATTTTATAAAGTAGAATTCCCAAACTTTTTGAGTTTTGTAGGTTTATGCTCTCATTGGTTAGGTTTTATGACAGTCATTCTGTCCTCTTGAAAATGTACTATATGTGTTATATGTATATATAAGTTAAAGTGACTTGAAATTGATTTCATTTGACATTGTCTCAAAAACCCTACATAGCATTGATACCATGGGGAGTCATAGAAAGAAAGTTGACTATCACTGATCTGAGAGTAAGATCCGGAAAGAAGTAGCTTTGGTTCCTGATCATTTAAGCCTCAGGTGTTTGAGTAGCCAACCCAGCAACACTTGGCAAATGCAGTGAACCACCCAAGGAAAGGAAAACGGTCATTTCTGCTCATATTTCATCATGCATTTTAACTTCCTACTCATTTGTTATTTTTCATTCAAATGCCCTCATTATTCCCTAGGAATTTTTTTAGTTTGGGACTTAAAACCAGATTTATCTATTGCTGTAGAGAGATTTCTACAGAAGCTGTGTTTTAGGGGCCTCCATCATCTGTGTAGGGGTACAGATATTTATGTATAAATATGTTTATGTCACTTGCAAACTTCCAAGGGAAAAATTTCAATTCTTAGTTCATGAAAAGGTTAAATAAGAATTGACTCAATGACCACTATCCTGCAGAAAAGTTAAATAGTAAATTAGGTTAAATTTTAACTGGTGCTTAGACATTTCCTAGTTATATTAAAATTAACTTAAGCAGACAGCAGCACATTAACCTGAATCACACCTGTGAGGAATTTACCTTCTAAATTTGATTTTGTTTTTCATCTCCAGGGCCTTAATAAGAGTGTGTTAACACACAAGACTATTTTACAATGATAGCTCTAAATAATTTATTTTTTATTTCAGAAAGAGAAATACACCTTAGAAAAACAAAACCCAAGATTTGATTTTATTTTTAAAGCCATATTTTTGTGCTAGTAGCACTTAGATTGTTCCATATCTGAGATCCATATCCACATTTCATTACCTGGGTTTGTTCTAAAGAAGATTTATTTTTGTTTTGTGAATAATTTTTGATGGTTCTTGTACATGTACAGATATAGATACATTTGAGGTCTTTTATTGATATTCCTACAAAGAATATAAATAAACTTTAACTTTAAACATTTCAGACTAAAGTTCCTACTGTATCTGACATATTACTGCCTTCCAGCTTGCATCTGGGTGCTTAGGATACTTGGAGAAAAACGAGAAAGAAAATGTATGCAAAATCATTATTCTGAAGATATATTTTAACTTTAAGAGCAACATGTCTTAGAATTTCCCAACTTCCAGGTAAAAAAGACTTAAATGCAAGACAAATAATCAGCATTAATGTATGTTATATTATGGTAACACTCTAACTAACAATGTTCCTCAGTCTGGAGAATTTAAAATCTCTTTAATAGCTTGTGACTGGTAAAGAAAGTTTCCTCTAGTTTGTTTGGAAGTATAGCCCCACTTAGCTTCCTAGACCACTACTATTCCTCTCTTAATTCCCCAGTTATATTAATGAGGTTTGTTTTCAGGATTTTTGTTGTTTGGTTCAGATTTTTTTATTTTAAATTACAGATTTGTTTGTCATTTTCAAGGTTATTGTTCCCAAATACCCCCATCTTCTCCTGCATATCTGTTATATTCTATAAAATCCAGGATGCATGTTTCACATATTGTTTTCTTTTATGTTAGTTGTAGGTCTATGCCTCTTGGCATATCTCAAGTTCTTTCTAATCCTGTTATACTAGGAATTAAAATTGACTTTAATTAGAATTGACTCAAAATCCAGAGATTACAATGAAAAGGAAACTGCAAATCAGTAGATTTGTGCTACTTTTTGTTCACTTCGAAGCTGACCCATTTCACTCTGAATTGCTCGTGACCTAATGTAAGCTTTAAGACTTCTTCGATCTGAAACATCAGAAAGAGAAAAGCTGTTGACTGCTCTTGTTAGCTCATAGTTCCTTTAGCCCCAAACCACCCAGCATGCGCCCTTTGTATATATCCAGGCCCTTTAATGTTTTTCAGCCTCCCTCTGGTTGCCTGACTGTTGTTTCACGAATGGGAAAGTATATAAAGCAATTTTGTTAGCCAAAAAAAAAGAAAAAGTTTAATAACAAATAAGACTAAGACAGATGACTAAATCAGTGGTTCTCAAAAGTAAGAGTGCCTCCTGCTCCACCACTGAACAAGTAAATAGAATCTCCCCAAGGACTGGGGCTAGGCTTTTAAAAAAAAAAGCTTGCCAGAGGATTCAGAAGAGGCAGGGTTAAGAGCCTCTAGTCCACATTAAGCTGTGAGCACCGCACGTGGGTGTCTGTTAAAATGTTTTCTATCCCCATTTCTGAAACTGGGATAAGTTAGCTATTGGTGTTTCCTTGCCTTCTATTTGCAATTTAAAATGCTGCTAAAACTGAAAACATACACTCAACCTTCCCACACACACACCTGTCCCCACCAATTCCATTCTTTAAATCCGTGAGGTAGGTAGTCTCTCCATTAACATAGTCACCCCATTTATGGAATAGGTACATTCCAACACAACTGACCAGAAGAAGAAATTCCCCATTTTAACTCCAATTTCCCTATTGAGTTCAATTTAAAACAGAAGGTAGATGGCTTTCTGGTTTGGTTTCAGAAGCTTCAATGAGTATACTCATCAAAGAATGTCAAAGAGCCCAGACCAGAACCAAATATACTACATTTGACTTTTAAAGAGTAAACAAAGTAGAGAACTCAAAATTCCTTTGTCTCCCTCCACCCCCCAAAAAAGGTTCTTAACTTTTGTAGACCCAATACTCAGTACTGCAGTGTTATTACTTGAAATTTATCAGATGCTAAATTGCATCTTGCACTTGTCATTCTTTCAACAGCAAAATGCACCAAAAGCTCTCCAATCCCCTCCCTACTCCTGCTCACGTGAGTTTTCCAAAATCATGAGAATTTTGTAAGATTCAATTAGCTCTATGAAATTACAATAGAGTATTCTATGTTTTATTATAATTTTTAAATTATAATATATTCTTTATGTCAAATTTATAATAAACATATATACATTATACATAACATACTACTGGTCTTTTTAGAAACTTGATTTTGTGAAATTCTAGAATGAATTGCTTGGGCAATATTTGTTTTGTCTATGCATAAATTGCAATGAGGTAAATGCCAATCCATTTCTTTATAAAATTGTGATTTTGGCTAGATGGTCTCTAAACAGTACTCTCTAGCTCTGACATCTATGATTATTATCTGATAAAATTGAGAAATGTGCCCATAACCTGTGTTCAAAAATCAGCTTGAGGTTTTTCTGTCAGTATGTATTAATAGCAACAGTTCTTCCTCTTCACAATCTGCCGTGGCACAATACGTTAAAAGAACCAATAAAAAAAAAAAAATGGAGCCGGGTGCGGTGGCTCACGCCTGTAATCCTAGCACTCTGGGAGGCTGAGGCGGGTGGATTGCTCGAGGTCAGGAGTTCGAAACCAGCCTGAGCAAGAGCGAGACCCCATCTCTACTATAAATAGAAAGAAATTAATTGACCAACTAATATATATATATAATTAGCTGGGCATGGTGGTGCATGCCTGTAGTCCCAGCTACTCGGGAGGCTGAGGCAGGAGGATCGCTTGAGCCCAGGAGTTTGAGGTTGCTGTGAGCTAGGCTGACGCCATGGCACTCACTCTAGCCTGGTCAACAAGCGAGACTCTGTCTCAAAAAAAAAAAAAAATGGAACAAACATATATTGAGAACACTACAATAATACTGTTGATAGTAATACTAGCTAATGTTTATTGAGCACCTACTATGTGTCAGGCAAGTTGCTAAGCACTTTTCATGAAATATATCATTTAATCATAACACCAACCACATATGAGTTAGGCGCTATTATTATCCTTCCCATTTCATAAGAAAATTGAGGCTCAGAATGACTAAGTTACTTGGCCAAGGCTACACAGTTAATAAAGCCAAGACGCAAACTCAGATCCTTCTTACTATATTGTCTTGATTAAAAAAAAAAAAAAAAACCTCAAAAAATATTGGAGAGGGTAAGAAAAAGGTCCCAAAAGATCCTAGCATATAACCAACCTGTCACCATGAGCCAAAGTTATGGCAATGAGAACAAGATGAAGTGATTTTCCAAAGCTGCTTCTCTTAATGTATTGGTTTGATAACGTTGCCTTGCATTGTCAAGTCAGCTGACTGATAAAAAATCAAAATGGGCAGAAATCTCACCTCTCTCAAAAATTGGTCTTTCATCTCTTCTGGGGCCATCAGAGTTGGGATAGTAAAATCTGCTTTCAGAATTCCAAAAGGGTGCCCTGAAAAAGAAAGTGCTACTTGGTTCAGGGGGAAATTATCCCACTGCCATCTGAAAACTTCACATTCATAGCAGTCAGAAGTACCCACTGGACACCAAAGATGCAACGTGGTGATTTATTAATAGAATTTCAAAAGGAAAGAAAAAGAAACTGCTGAACAGGAGAACACTCAGCCACAATTAGGACCAACCAATTAGTGGCTGAAAAAGAGAAAATTCTACACTTGAGGATAATGCTGGTTCTTCTTCCACAGCCTGGCCACTCCTCAGGCAATTATTTTCTGTTTCTCCTGTATTTTTGTCCTTTTAATCTAGTAAGTAGGTGCTCCACAGCATGCTGGAAATACCTCTCGTTAAGCTCTCTACTCCCAGAAAACTCTGAAGAAGTTCTCTGAACCTATAAATAAGTTCTTCCTTCAGCCTTGAGCCACTCATAGTCATTACAGGATCTCCAACCTCATAATAGGACTACTTTACATTTGATAGCATTTTATAGTTTACAGAGTGTCTCTGTATAATTACTGGGTGCTCACAACCACCCCATAATGCAGGCAGGACCGTTTTTACTGTGCCCCTTTTGCAGATGAGAAATAGAGATTCAGAAACTTGCCCCTAGAACCTTCATAATAGTCATGGAGATTAAACTAGAATCTCTATCTTCATTCCTATCCCTGTCCCCAACATTTCACGCTGTCTTTCATAGAAACGTCTCAAGTGCTCTGTGCTAAGTGACTGTGGAGATTTAACTCCTCCACTGGAAGAGTGGGAACTTGGTAAACAGAATCAGTTACCTGATTTTGGTGCTGTTTTCTTTTTAGACTCTGAGCTCAAATGTTGGGCCTCAGTGGTAGTAGCTGTATCTTTTATATCAGTGCCACTCTCTACACTGGTCACAGCTACAGGAGGGGAAAATAAAAGAGTTATTGCAAATCCAGCTGGTAGTAAGTTGGCCTGAAATTGGTGACTACCTCTGAGCTGGAAAACAGGTGAGAGCAGCCACTGCTATGCATACAGTTTCTGCAAAAGCCATCGCCGAGGGAAACTCAGGTCCTGCCAATCCTTGACTCACCTCCACAGACTCTTGTGCCCAGCCCTTAAGTTGCTATGCCATCGTCTTTCAAAAATAGCCACTGGCATCAGGATTCGTGGGGCTTGGGCACTGTTATGAAGTTGTCCTCAGTACCAAATTGCTTTCAGTCTACAATAAAGCTCGATGCCCTATATTGTTGCCAGCTACACAGAGCTGCCGTCGTGGCTCCCAGGGGCCCTTGACATCTCCATCAAGGGAGAGTCAGGCTCAGGCGCCCCCGTATGGCTGGCCATGCCCTGAGACCCTCCAGCCGGAGACCCCAGGCACCCACAGCTGCTTTCCGTGCTCATGTTCACCAAAGTCCTGTCAGTGCCTTGCAGATGTCTTTTTATTTTTTCAGACATGGAAAAATCCTGTTATTTTGTGGTATATTATTGTAACATATTTAAGCAAAATTATCGACTCCCCGAACCAGGGACAACCTCTCTTAAAAGTTTGCTGCAGACTATCCTTCATATACTGGAATTTGTTAATTTGAATGTGTAAAGATCTATCTTTGCACATTTTATTGAGTGTACCATAACTTATTTAGCAAATCTGCTTTCAGTCTGCCCTGTGATGGACAACGCCACCACAGACAGCGCTGCGTGTGGCGGGCGCATATATCTGTGAGCACTTCGTACCATCCTTTCCTTGGTCAATTTCCAAGGGCAGAGTTTCTGTATGGAAGGGTTTGCACATGTCAAAACTAACACACATTCTGACACCAGGACAGTAGCCCCAGCGTACACACCTGCCATGTCTGAGATCACTGTTTTTCCCACCTTCTCATCAGCATTGTCACCCTTTCCAATCTTTGCCACACTGGTTAAGCATTAATACAAAAGTAAATTTTAAAAACACATCTTTTCAAAATTTGCATTTCTGTAATTCAGTGAACAAAGCTGAGCATTTTTTCAAAAATGTATTTGTATTGGTATTTTTTCAATCACTGTCACTTGTGAATATAAAATCCATTCCCTCGTGCCCCACCGCTCCCCGCCACTGCTCCACCACGGCCTCAGCCCCGCTCACCCCTCCCCCACATGCCACTGCCACCTCTCCTGGTGAGGCCCACCGTCCCCACCCAAAGCTCTGCAAATTTCTTTAATGAAATGAGTAAATTAGCAACGTTCAGAAACAGAAGGGAACATCACCTGAGTCTAACTACTGTTAACATTGTCCCGCCTCTCCCAATCTTTTTCCCTAAGCAGTTTGATGTTTCCTTTCAACATTGTTGTAACTGCATTATATATTTGTTGATCATGCTTTTTTCACTTAGCACCCTAATAAAAGCATTGTCCCATGTCAATATATACCACCTTGCTTCTGGACACTACACACCTGAACGTTTTTCTTGCTTGCTGGAAACCTCTGCCGGCTCCGTGGGCCACCCCAGTGTGCTTCTCCTCACCCCTTCTCAGTCACGTCAGACTGCTTGCCACTCCCGAGCAAACCAGACACTTTGACATCTGCCTTGGCTTGTGCTGTGCTCTTTGCCCAAAAGAACTTTCTAGTCTTTGCTGCCAGAGAAATCCTCCATTAACACACCTTTTGTCTAGTTATTCATCTCCAAGCAGAGTGAATGAATCACTTTCCTGCCAACCTCTTTGTTCACACTTCTGGGCGCAGCACTTTGCAAATTGTCCTGGCTCTATAGGGCCCATTAGACTATGCTTAAACACAGAAAACAAGTCCTGCTCATCTTGGCATCTGTAGTTCAATGCCTTGTTCAAAACAGGTGCTTGGGAAATGACTGTTGAATTAAATCATGTGCAATTAAATAACATGCAAAACACTATTCTCCAGAGCCTAGGAGAGATACAACGAAGTATAGAACAGTCCCTTCCCTGTGAGATTCTCCAATCCCAATAATTCATAATTCTAATCATTTATAATTAATAAAATGAGAATGAAGCCAGCTCCATCTATTAAGATAAAGAGAGAAATGGGAGAAGAAATGAGTCACTAAACATTTTACTAGTGAACTGAGATTAAAACGGCAAAAACTACCATTTATTGTCTGCCAGATGCTAGGCACCCAGAAATGAAAAAAATGAGGTTCAGAAAGGTTAGGAAACTTGCCTAAGGCCACACAGTAAGTACTGGAACCAGTATTCCAACCATTGGCTGTCAAACTCTTACAGCAAAATAGTTTGTTTCTCCCCCAGTTCTCCTTTATTCCACCCCCATCTCATTCTAAATTATCCAGGGAAGATGGGAGGGTGAACTGGCCCTGGCCAGACGGGATCCCCTATGGAGTAGGCTGGAATGCTGCCAGGATGGGCAGATAAGGCCCAGCACACAACACGCTCCCTGACCCCATCTCACTGCCCACCCTCAGCTGCCCTGCCTGTAGTCTGCGCATGGAAGCTCAGGCCTGGTCTCCCCAAGGGAGAAATTTCCCAAGGTGCTAGGGCTGACCCCAGGTGCAGTCTCCAACCTCCAGTGACACCAAAAGGAACCTGTTTCTGGCCCTGGCTCCCAGCTATCCCGGGGCAGGTGTCCTGGCTCAGGGCTGCAGACGCAGAGAGCGCAGTTGTTCTCTGGGGCACAGGTAGGCTCCCTGAGCTGGATGAGTCCGAAAATGCTTTCTTTGGCCCCCAGAGAGCTCCCTGGAGCCTCGAGCCCAGGACTGGCTAGAAGTGGTGAACCCAAGGGGCGCTGCTATCTATCCCAGAGTAGCTGAGGCGTTGCGGGTGCAGCTGAGTGAGGGGCTCTTTGTTGCCCCCGCGTAGCCGAGGCCCGCTGCAGGTAACGCCCGAGGGGCAGGCCCCACGGGGCGCAGTGGCGGAGATGCGGAGGGCTAAGGGTTGGAGGACGCGCGCTCTCGGCAGTGACCAGGAGGGCCTGGGCCCTTCCCAGAGAACCGCGGTGCCCCCGCAGGCTTGGGGTTGGGCAGCGGGCTCAGTGCCACCTGCCCCTTGGGGCTGGGGAGCCGCAGGCCGCGAGATCCGGGCGACACTGCACCGCAGAAGGGCCCTGCCAGGCGCCCGTGGGGCTGGCGCTGGTCCCTACCATAGGAGAGGTGACTTCTGTGGGGCGCTGCCTCCCAGACCCTCCCGAGGCCCTGGCCGCCACGGCTCCTCCGCGGGGCTCCCTGGCCGGCCGTGCGCACCGCCGCAGACCGGTGAGAGGGCGTCCCGAACCGACAGGCGCCACGTGCCCTTTAGGCCTGGGGCCGCCAGACAGGCGCCAGGTTAGACCGCAGGTGGGAAGGAGACAGGCTGTCACCCAGCTTCTGAACCCAACCTGACTGCCCAGTCCAGCCCTGCCTGGCCCGATGGCTTCGGGGTGACGGCCACCTTCCGCAGCAGCTCACGGAGGGCCTGCGGGAGGAGCCCCCCGAGCCCACCGTACCCACCCTGCCTGCGCCTCCTCCCCGCAGTCCCACCCCCTGCTCTGCTAAATCCTCCTCGTCCTTCAAGACAGGCATAAGATCACCTGCTCCAAGAAATCCTCTTGTTAGTGGCGGGGAGGTCACTGACAAGGGTGTCCCGCGGCGCCCATCCCCACGCTAAGCGTCAGCCTCCTCCTGGCTGCCCGTGCGCCCCTTCGGAATAGGCCCTGCCCTCCTTCGTGTCCGCAGAGCCCTGGCCCGTGGCCATGCCTTGGATAGCATGAGAGCCCATCGACATTTTCTAATGAGTGAATTAATGCAATTCTGTTTGCCCTCGATCGAATCTGCTAACTTCTGTGTCCTCGAAAACAGGCCGCAAACGCCTGTGCGGCGCAGGGAGCCGCCCTGGCCACCCGTCAGCTCCGGAGCTCTCGGGAAGCAAAATGCGGTAACAGCTGTGAAGACGTTGCAGGAATTTAAAAATGCTACCGGGCGCTGTCACTGTCATTCCCAGCCACGTGCCCACACTCGGCGCCGGCGCCCACCCCGCTCTCCCGCAGGAGCCCGCAGGCGGAGGGGCTCTGGCGGGCAGCCCTGCGCCCGCCGCCTCGCCGGAGACGGCGCGGCCTCTCCTGGGTCTCCTGGCCCTGTGACCGCAAGTCCCAGGCCCGATTCAAAGCGAAGGAGGCCGATGGCGACCACGCCGCCTTTCCACCCTCCCAGCCGGCCGGCCGGGCAGCAGAGGGACGCCCTCCCGCGCGCCTCCGCCCGCCTGCTCTGCCCGCCCCGGCCCTGCCGGGTCCCGGGCCTACTCTGGGCCGCCGCACGCGGGCCACCCTCTCACTTCCTGGGGCGCGAGGACCCCAGATCCAGCCAGGACAGTTCAGGCACCTAAGCTTGGCCTGGGCGCCGGCTCCGCCGCGATTCCCGGGGAGGGAGTGGCCGCCCGGCCGGCGGGGAGGGGCGGCGGCTCGGCGGGCGCGCGGGGGCCAGTGGCGGGGCCTGCAGGGAGACGCGGGCGTGAGGCGGGCTAGCAGTGCGGGGCGCAGCCGCCGTCGCACTGGCTGGGCCGTCGGCGCGCGTCCTCTTCCGCCCTCACCTAGCTCTTCAGCGGGAAGCGCGGTCGTGCACATAGTAACGAGTCCTGAAAAATCCAAAACACAGAAAGAAACAGGCAAGAGCAGGCAAATCCAGAGGCAGAAAGCAGATCAGTGGCTGCCCAGGAGGGAGCAGGGAGCACTCGGTAAAGAGCTTCCTCTGGAGGAGATGAAAACGCCCCGACATTAGACGTGGAGACGGCTGAACAACCTGCGGACGCACTGGGAGGCACACTGTGCACCGTAAGAGGCTGAAGCTTAGGATATGCGAGTTAGAGCTCAAGAAAGCCGGTATGAGGAGGAAGGAGGGGAGGCGGGGAGGCCCGCTGCCCGAAGGCACAGGATGCGAAGATGCAGAGTGCCCGGCGTGCTCTGCTCCGTGTGGCCCTGGGGACAAGAACAGTGGCACTAGCCATTCTCTCCCTGGTGCCCCCTCTCTGCAGGGTCTCCTCTAGGTCTTGCAAGCTCGTTCTCTCAGCCTTCAACCCATTCTATGAGGCGGGGATCATCAATCCCATTTTGTTAAATAAATTTTCCAGGTGAGGAAAACAAGGCTCAGCGATGGTGCCCACCTTATTTCTAGCAAGTGGTAAAGTCTGCCTGGTTCCAAAGCCCAGGGTCTTAACTTCAGTGTCGAATCCCTAATTGCTGTCACCAATTGCTGTGCCCTAAGGCAGGATGGAGCCCATTCCATTCTTTAAAGATCCCCAGAATTAAGTTTGTAGTATGAGGGTCTCGGGAGCCTGCTCCAGAATTCAGTGACCCTCAGAATCTAGACGTCTTCCTTAGGCCTGTCCTCAACGTCCCGGCTACCAAGGAAACCCATCTCCGTCTTGTTTTGTCCTCAGCGGCCGCAGGCCAGCAAGAGCAGACTACTCGCCGTGGAGGCAGATGAAGGGCTGCGGGGAAGAGCCAGAAGGGCGTGCTGGCACCCAAGGCACTGGACCAGCTCAGAGACCCGGAGTTTGCACTGAAGTAGAGGCCGGTCCAGGCGTCAGCCTCACTCATGATGGACTTCAGAGCCTCCTCGCCAGCCTCACCAGTCACCGTGTGCAGGTCGGCCAGGTCTGTTTGGTGGCTGTGGCAGTACAGCAGGGCCAAGGACCACATCATTACCTGGTCAAATCGCGTGAAGGTCCGTCCACCGATCTGGACCACAGCTGAGGTCAAAGAACATGGACATCACAGGCCTGAGGTCTCTGCCAGCCCGGCCCCCATCATCCCTGGGGACAGAGTTCTGGTCTAACCCAGGCCTTTGTCCCATCCTTGAGTGTTAAGTTTGATCAAAACCACAATGTTATAGGCAGACTAAATACCAGGTTGGGAGAATGGATGAGATATCACAGGACAGTGCAGGGAAGCATTAGGGAAAGCAGGGGTTGAGAGTCTTCCTGCAGTCAATCTTAATGTCTTCATCTATACAATGGAGACAGTAACAGTACCTAAAGGCAAGAGTACATGAAACTATGAATATAAATGGTTTAGCACAGTGTGTGCAAGTAGAAAGCACTTAATAAAATGGTGGTTGCACTTGAGGGGAGGCTCTGAAGGGCACAGAACCATCTGGGTTTGGAGTCACCCTCACGTGTGATTTCCAGGGACTGTACCTGCCGTGCTGGCTTTTGCGGGCTCCAGAGCTGAGCAGAACAGAGGAAGTGTGTGGCGGACATTCCTAGGCTACCGCGCCAGGAGAGCCAGGGAGACAGGAGGCAGCGCAGGTCCCGCGCAGACACGAAGACACCCACCTCCCACAGCCCCCACTCAGCCCCTGACCGAGGCTGGACTGGGCCAGGTAGAACAGGCCGCGCCTACCCTGCCCCTGCCAGGCCTGTCTCATCGGCAGCACATAAGCCTGTGCATCTGTGCTTCCAAACAGCGGATGTTTGGAAACGATGTGAGCAGCTGGGGCTCGACCTGAAGCACTGATTCCGGAGGCCCGGATAAAGGAAACAGCCCTGTTTGCAGAGCCGGGAATCATGTCCTCAGACTCAAATAGGCCTCCCAAACTCTCTGGTGCACACCTGCTCACCTAAGCTCATCGAGATTTGCCTCACACATTTGTTTACCTTACATTTTCCCTATCTAAACTGATTTTTTTAAAGTCACTCTTTGAGCTATGCATGTGGCCTATGTCATCGTTTCAAATCCTCACTGTACTCTTGAGAAGTACATATTATTAACAGATGAGGAAAGGGGGCCTCAGGAGGTGACAACTTGCCCAGACTCAAGCCACATTAAGCAGCAAGATGAGATAAAAACATAGGTTCATCTGCCTAGCAAAGCTACGCCGTTCTCACCCTACAACTCCCTGCTCCACGCCACGCAGAAAACCAACTCTACAAAGCAGAGCGATTGAGTCTACTTCCTTTGTCACAGAATTCTCAAACCACATAGGAAGAAACTTAAAAAAAAAAAAAAAATACCAGGGCAGTAATATCCAGAGGGGAAAATGTCAGAGGAAAATGCTTCCGTCCAGATGGGTGGGCAGGTACCCGGGGTGTGAAGAGGTACCGCACAGCCCTGCCCGAGGCGGACAGCAGGGCTGCAGCCCAGCCGGTCCTCTCCTGGCTCCACTCTGGGGTTAGAGACCTTGAGCAAGGCAGCCAAGCCTCTAGGCCCATCAGAGGGACAAAGGCCTGGTCTTCTCCATGGGGTCCCTGGGCAGCCAGGTAGGGGTGGGGGAGCAGAAGGGACCCAGGGGTAAGAATCCTGTTGGCTGGTCCGGGTGGATGAGTCCAATGCAAAACAAGCCACACTCCTAGAAAGGGCAGGTGGGGCAGGTGTGTACCTGGCTTTGGAGAGGTGGTCAGGCTGAGAGAGGGCTCCGTGGAGACGAGGTGCCCGACGGCAGGGTCTGTAAAACAGAGACTGACCGCGCGTTACAGGGTGGGTGTAGGTGCCGCCCAGGATCCTCTGCAGGCCCCAGGTGCTGCCCAGTTGAAGCCAGGAGAAGCCTTGATCAGGGTAGGCAGGCTTGTTTATTCCTTTCTGCATGTATTCAATAAATACAGATTAGGCCCATACTGTCTGGTGGCCATGATGCTATGCTCTGGGAAAATAGCAGAAATAAGACAAGCAGAGTCCTTGCTCGTGAAGGGAATATAGGAGGAGCCAGCCTTGCAAAGAGTCAGGAAGAGCTGGCCGGGCAGAGCCAGGGGTGGGGTGGAGGAGAAGGCAGGGAGGGTGCTGGGAGAGGGACAGATGAGGCTGGCAGGACCAGGCAAGGCCTCGGTGGCCACGAGAAGGAGGGTGTTCTAAGTGCCACAAGATCTACTGATCCCTTTGTTCAAGGGAGGCAGTCTGACTTACATTTTTAAAAGCTCACTATGTAGAATTGGCAGAAGGAGGGGACATAGTAGAACTTTCTAGGTTTTACCTTTTTTCTATCCTGACTTACAGCCATTTCTCCAATAGGATCTTGGGAAGAGGGGGCAGAGGAAATAGAAACTGAGGCCACAGAGAAGTGATGTGGCAAAATGGGTAAGGTAATGAGCAGCTGTCTTCTGAAAGACTGGGCGTGGGCTTGCTCTCCCCTCCTCCCTCTCCCATGCCGCCCCTCTCCCCACCCCTTCACCCCACTTGCTCCTGAAAAGCAACACTGGGCGGAAGACCTGCCCGGGACAGGAAGTGAGCGCACCGTAGTAGCACACGAAGGGCTTCTGAGCTGTGCAGGAGGAGGCCCCCAGCCTGGGGACAATTTTCAGTGAAGTGGACAGAGTGGCGCAGAAGCCCACCCCGAAGTCGGGCAGTCTCTGGCTCCACGTCAGGGAGGTGAAGGCAGAGCCGCTGGACCATCGCAGGCCGGAAATGCTGGCGTCAAAGAAGAGGCCAATCCAGACGTCCGCGCTGCTCGACAGGGCGTAGAGCTGCGCCAGGCCGCCGGGCTGCAGGTCGGCCAGGTCCGTGTAGCGCAGCCGGCAGTAGCGCCGGGCGTCCGGCCAGCTCAGCGCCTCTTCCACCCTGTGGAAGCTCTTCCCACTGCTCCCCAGCTGCAGGGCTAGAGCAGGGGAGGCTGTCACGCTGCACCCAGCCTCTCTTCTCTCCTGCTCTGCCCCTCGCCGGCCCACCATTTGTGCCCACCTCTGCCTCCTGGCCCTGGCACAAGCTTCTCTGTTGGCCTGGAAGGGCTGACCCCTCCACCAGTTCCCTCAACCCCCTTCTCCTATTCCCTGACCACCCCTGCCCTCCCCGGCCAGGCCTGGGGCCTTCCCATGTGCCGGCCCTGCGTGAGCCTTGGTAGCAGCAGACAGAGCTCACTGGGTGCTGCCACGTGTCAGCAGCTCATTGAATCCTTCCAACAACTCCCTAAGACAGGGGTCCCCAACCTGTGATGAGTTGTGTAATTATTTCATTAAATATTACAATGTAATAATAACAAAGTACACAATAAATGTAATGCACTTGAGTCATCCCGAAACCATACCCCCCACCCACACCCCTCAACCCGGTCTGTGGAAATATTGTCTTCCATGAAAACAGTTCCTGGTACCAAAAAGGTTGGGAACTGCTGCCCTAAGACATCACCCTACCTGTTTTACCAATGAGAAAACCAGGCCGGGCGCAGTGGCATATGCCCGTAATCCTAGCACTTAGGGAGGCTGAGGCAGGAGGATCGCTCAAGGTCAGGAGTTCGAAACCAGCCTGAGCAAGAGTGAGACCCTGTCTCTACTAAAAACAGAAAGAAATTAATTGGCCAACTAATAAAACCATATAGAAAAAATTAGCTGGGCATGGTGGCACATGCCTGTAGTCCCTGCTACTCAGGAGGCTGAGGCAGGAGGATCACTTGAGCCCAGGAGTTTGAGGTTGCTGTGAACTAGGCTGATGCCATGGCACTCTAGCCCGGGCAACAGAGTGAGACTCTGTCTCGAAAAAAATAATAATAAATAAAAATAAAAACAAATGAGAAAACCAACTCACCGAGTTAAGTGACATGACCAAAGCCACCTGGGGGAAGGAGGTAGAGCCAGTATTCACAAACCCTGGGTGGGCATCCAGCTCCAGACCCTTACTCATGGCGCGGGATTGCCCCACATCAGGGCCAGTAACTGAGGCTGCCCAGAGAATCACCCAGGCCATGAGCACATGCCCAGGCCCACCCCGACTCTTTGTTGCTGGGGCAGCATCAGAATGTGTGCAAAGCTCCCAAGTAAAAGACCTTTCTGTTCGTCTCTACCATCTGATCTGGGCGACTTGGGAGCGAGAACAAGCCTTGCTCATGATATGCCCAGTGCTCAGCACAACACCAGCACAACAAAAGGAAGGCCTGGAGTGCACTGAAAAGGAAGGAAGAAACAGGAGAGGGAGGGAGGGAGGGAGGGAGGGAGAGGGAGGGAAGAAGAAAGGAAGGAAAGGAGGAAGGGAAGGAGGGAGGAACTAATGAGCAAATCAAACTTCTCCCACGGACCCACCCCAAGCCCCAAGATCTGAGTTCACTTCCTTCCTTGACTCCAACCCCTTGTGGGGGTCCCAGCAAATGGGGCCGGTTCAAGGCTGCTCTGCTCTGCCAGGTCCTGCCTGTGAGGGCCGAGAGGAACCGAGGGCTGGCAATGGGATCTTTGGGGTCCCAGGCTGCAAGGAACCAGCTTCCGGGCAGATGCCTCAGGAGAGGAGAATCAGATTGAAGACCTGGGCTCGCAGGGCGGGACAGGAGGCAAAGGACGGAAGAGGCACCTGCCAGAAAGAGGCAAGCTCCTCACACCCACCAGAGTCAAGGTCCTCCCAGTTGCTAGAAAAGGACTGTTTATTTTATTTTTATTGGTAGTAATGATTGGCTGTGGCTCACTAAATTGACTTCAAGGTGTCTTGGTCCTCGCTGGCGGTTTGAGGAAGCCGTCGCCCAGCAGAGCCCAGGACTCCCCGCGCCGAGGCTAGGCGCCCAGACCCCCGCCTGCACCCCGGAGCCCCGCCTGCACCCCGAGCCCGCCTGCACCCCGAGCCCACCTGCACTCCGAGCCCTCCTGCACCCCGGAGCCCGCCTGCACCCCGAGACCCCCTGCACCCCGGAGCCCGCCTGCACCCCGCAGCCCGCCTGCACCCCGGAGCCCGCCTGCACCCCGGAGCCCCGCCTGCACCCCGGAGGCCCGCCTGCACCCCGGAGCCCCGCCTGCACCCCGGAGCCCCGCCTGCACCCCGAGCCCGCCTGCACCCCGAGCCCGCCTGCACCCCGAGCCCGCCTGCACCCCGGAGCCCGCCTGCACCCCGGAGCCCCGCCTGCACCCCGCCGGCCGGCCACCAGGCCGCAGCGAGACCCCGCCCCCACCCCCGTGCAGCGCGGCCCACCCAGGAGTCCCCATGTCCCCTTCCCTCCTCTCTGACAACCTGTCACACAACAGCCCCATTGGGTTCTATGGCCCTAAGCCTCCCAGAACTGCGCACTCCTCCCCGCATCCCTGGCCCAAGTTGCCGTCCTCCGCCTGTGGCCGTGCCCTGCGCTCCCCACCTGCAGCCCGCGGGCCTCACTGAGAGCTTCACCAGCCTTCACTGCACCCGTCCCGTAATTCTGAAATTCTCTTGATTCATCTTCTTGATGAATTTTTTTTTTTTTGAGACAGAGTCTCACTCTGGGTAGGATGCCCTGGCGTCAGCCTAGCTCACAGCAGCCTCAAACTCCTGGGCTCAAGCAATCCTACTGCCTCAGCCTCCCAAGTAGCTGGGACTACAGGCATGCGCCACCACGCCCCTATAATTTTTTCTTCTTTTTGGTGGTGGGGGGAGTCTCGCTCTTGCTCAGGCTGGTTTCGAACTCCTGACCTCGAGCAGTCCTCCGGCCTGGGCCTCCCAGACAGCTAGGATTCCAGGCGTGAGCCACCGCGCCCGGCCTTCCTGAATGTCTTCACCGTCTGACCCCCACTAGGGCGCGAGCTGGGGAAGTCGGGACCGGCCGCGCGCCGGGTGGAGCGGGCGGAATCGCCGCCGGCCCCAGCTCCCGCCTCAGCTGCCTGGGCTGGCGAGGGAGGAGGGCGGGGGCCGGATCGGGCTTCTCTCCCCGGCCCTCAGACGGCCGCAAACCATTCCTTCCCTTTCGGCTTCTCTCCCTCCACCTGGCGGCCGCGGAGGCCCCTCGGGCGGCTCACCTGCGGCGCCCAGGGCCAGCAGCAGCGCGCGGGACCGCATGGCCGGACGGCGGCGCCCGCTCCTCCGCGCCGCCCGCTCCTCCGCGCCGCCCGCTCCTCCGCGCCGCCCGCTCCTCCGCGCCGCCCGCTCCTCCGCGCCGCCCGCGGCTTGCTGCGGGCACACTCGCGCAGCCTGCAGCGGGCGGCCGGAGCAGAGGAGCGGGCCTGCGCCTGCGCCGGCGAGACGGGCGGGGTGGGGCGCTGGAGTGGGGCGGGGCCGAGCCGGCCGGAGAGGGGCCGGGGGGGCGGGCCGGGGGAGAGCCGGGGGACGGGGCCGGGGAGGGAGGGCCGGGGACGGGCCAGGGGCGGCGGGGGCGGGCCGAGCCGGGCCGGAGAGGGCCGGGGACGGGCCGGGGGCACGGGGCCGAGCCGGGTGGAGAGGGCCCGGGGCCGGGAGGAGCCGGGGGCCGGAGGCCGGGGTGGCGAGGGGCGCGGGGCCGGCGGGTGGGAAGGGGCGGAGGCCTAGGGGCGGGGCCGAGCCGGATGGGAGAGGCGGGGGGCCGGAGGGGCGGGGCCGGAGGGGCGGGGGCGGGCCGAGCGGGTGGGGAGAGGGCGGCCGGAGGGCCGGGTGGCGCCGGGTGGGAGAGCGGGCGGGCCGGGGCGGGGCCGAGCCGGGTGGGAGAGGGGCGGGGCCGGAGGGTGGGGTGGCAGGCCGGGTGGGAGAGGCCGGGGGCGGGGCGGGGGGCGATCCGGGTGGGAGAGGGGCGAGGGCCGGAGGGGTGGGGGGGCGGGCCGGGGGAGAGGTCGGAGGCGGGAGGGGCCCGGGTGGGCGGGTGGGGGTGGGGGTGGGGGCGGGGCGGCGCTCGCGCTCAGGTTGCGGGGAGCAGCGGCAGGTGAGGCCCGCAAGTCCTGCCGCTGGAGGTCGCAGGCTGGAGGCGGGGCGGTGCGGCCGCGCCAGGCGCAGGGCTGGCGGCCAGGGCCGTTTCTCCGGGAGCCGAACAGCTCCCCGTGTCCCTCCCAACACCCCGAATCCTCGTTTTGCCCTGAGCTTTCTGTGTCCCCGAGGCCGCGCTTCCGGGAAAAGCTCAGAGACGCCCCGGAATCGACCGGGCGTGGCGAGGGAAGGGGCTCGAGGCTGGCGGGTCCCTGGGGGTGGGGTGGGGCCCTGGCGTCCGGCCGGCCCACCTCCCCGCGCAGTCCCGGCTGAGGCCCGGGCGGCGCCGCCCGCTCGGCTGCAGCGCGCCCGCTGTGCCTCGTCCCTCCTCTGGCTGCGAGTCCCTGGGGCGCAGGGCCTGGCAAAGTGACGGAGCGCCGCCCCTGGGCGCTAGGCGAAGCCGCGGCTGGTACGGGAGCGTGTGCTGTTACTGTCCCCGTTGGGGCCTGGCTCCTGGCCGGCCGTGCATCCGGAGCCTCGACTGCGTGAGTGAAGGCGACGCCTTGCACAGGACACCAGGGCTGAGGGTGAGGGTGGAGGAGGACAGCGTCGCTGCTCAGGACGCGAGTCTCACTGGGAGCTGTGCCAGGAAATCCAAGCAAGGGTCAAAGGAACCCAGTGAGGGAGCAGCAAGCAGGCTTCCTCAGCAACCCAGGAACAAACGCTAGGTTTGCATGAACTACAGGAAGCCAAATGGCCAGGGAAACTCCCGTAGCATCTGTTCCCGTTCCCCAAAGTGGGAATGCCATTTCCACCCAGCTACAATCAGCCTGCACTTCCAGGTACAACTTTTGCTTTCCACTATTTATACCTCTTCTCCCAAACTAACCAGATCTGCATCCCCGAAGTGGAAGCCGCCTTTCCCCGCACTTACTTTACTCCTTAGACATGTCCTCAACATCCCTGAGAGCAGGCAGGGGTTCTGCAGGCGAGTCGCAGGGCTGTCCGGGGCCTTCGTTGGAGGTAGCATGGCGGCTGCAGTGCCTGCCAGCCAGCCTCCTGCGCTGGAGCAGTGGGGGGAGCCCTGTGGCCAGCTTGAGTGATTTTCTCTGAGCCTGGATCCCTTATCTGCAATTTGAGGGTAATAACAGCCACTTTACCACACCACTATGACGACTCAATGAAATAATAGTTTTTGTCATGAACATGATCCATGTCACAAATTCCAGTGTGCAAAAAACAGGGCATATCTATATTGTCTCTAAATCAATGTAAATGTTTTATGCTTTACATATAAGAAAATGTACTTTAACTGTACAGTTCAGTTTTGCAAAATGTACATACCAATGTAACCACCACCACCCAGATAGTTACCTCCTGCCCTTTGCAGTCAATCTCTCCCCCATCCCAGCTTCTGGCAACCACTGATCTGCTTTCTGCCACT